GTGTGCGATGCGGTGGAGGGCATGGAGGCGCTTCGCCGTCGCGGACGGTGAACATAGGTGTGCCTGACAGCAGCGGATCGGCAAAACCGCGCCCGTTCTCGGACGATGCGCAACAGCAGCAGCAGCAGCAAGGCACGTCGTCACACCCTAAGATGCAGCGCGCGGACTCCGACCCGGTGCGCTCGGGGAGCGACGTCAGCAAGGTTGGCCTGGGCATCAACATGCCGGGCTCGGGGAATTCGCGATAGAGATACTGGTTCGTGGATATCCTGGGTAATTGTACGAGGTGAGGTTCCGGCATCGGTTTAGGATACTGCAGGCCCGAAAACGACTGGGGGGCACGCGGGTGCATCCCTTTGTTTTCTTTATTATCATACTACTACTACAGCAACGACAGTTACATACAGTGCACGTTACCCTATTACCCCTTGCAATGTGTTACCCCTGCATGTTGAGGCCTGGGATGGGATCTTACAGTCAAAGCTCTTAGCGTCTTGGTGACATCTGGCATGTGATGTATATACAATTTCCTCCTATCTATCTATCTCTCCTCACTCGGTGATCTGCGTGTGCGGAAGTGTTGTTGTGATCATCATTTGGTATGGGGTACCGCGCGAGTGACTACACACGACATCTGAAAGTCTCTGCATCCCCACAGCATGGATGATGAATGGTGGATGGATAGATGAGCTCCAAGGTGCATTTGAGCACATCCCATAGACCTAGCGGCAATCTACGCGTACTTCGAGCACTCACTGCGGGTGCGTAATGATATCATAGAGGCATTGGGTGGCAGGCTTACGGGGTAGGTCGTTTTCGACACGCGAACGAATAATGTCAGCAGTGTGCGGCCCATTACAGCTGGGAGTTGAATATTAATATTTGATATTGATACTATTTGTTGCAGTGTGATGGGAAGTACTCAAGGATGGCTCGTTGATGAACGCGCAAGATCAAGCCTGAATCTTTAGATTCGATCAAGGCTGATCTCGAAATTCAATAGCAAGTCTCCGCGCAATTGCAGCCGATCGACCACATCCATCAAGATTGTCCCATTGCATCAATGCCATCAGTGTTCCATTACTGCTTCATATCATTATAATTATACTTCGTAATTACATTATAGAGAAGCCACGGGGTAGTCCACGCCATAAGAATAATATGATCATGTCCAGAGAGAATCCATGTCTGAATTGTCCGTGCGATGGTCCATGAGAAAATTAGAATGCACGAACGCATCATGATGCAAATATCGCGTCCAGCTGCACCTTGAACATATCCTCAACCACCCGACGCCGGATGTTCCCCTTCGTCGCTGTCCGCGGCAGCGTCCCGCGCCCCACCACCACCACCATCCTCGCAGACGTGATCCGCTCGTGCACATACCGCCGCACGTGGAACTGTCGCGTCCGCCTCACAATCTCCCTCCGCAGCTTCTCCGCGTCCATCGCGACCAGCGCCTCGACGAACACCACCGGCGACGGCCGCCCGTTGCCCACCACGATGCACTCCGCAACCAGGTCCCCGCATGTCGCCCGCACGTTGTCCTCGATCGCCTTCGTGTCACACCGCAGCGCTGTCGAGCTCTTGATCCAGTCGTCGTTCCGCCCGCGGCTCACGTACGCACCCGGCGCGACTTCCACGAACAGGTCGCCTGTGTGGTAGTGCCCGTCGGCCGCACGGAGTGACGGATCGGGGCAGTCGGGCGAGTCTGCAAGGATGACCAGCTCAACCAGCTGCGCGTGTGCGTTCGTATGTGCCGATGTCGCAGCGGAAGAGGGGGAGGATAGGGAGATGGAGAGGAAGCCGTATTTAGTACCCGCCATCGGGCGCAGCGGTGGATTGGCGCGGCCTGAGCCCCGTGCAGAGAGCAGCATCGCACCACACTCCGTACTCCCGAACAAATTCACCATCTTCATCCCATGCTCGTACGCCCACGCCTCGTCCTCTGCAGCCATCGGCTGCCCCGAGTACAGGATCTCGTCGAGTGCGCAGAGTTGTACGAGCAGCTGCGGGTCCTTCCGCGAGTTGCGGAGGTGGACGCCGAGGAACGCGGGGAACTGGTTCAGGCGGTTCAGCCCGCACCGCGCGATCATGTCGACCAGCTCGCAGGAGGAGAACGTGATCTCCGTCGGCTGGACGGTGCACGCCCCGTGCTGCAGCGATCCAAGAAACATGAAGGTCTGCCCAATGTGGCACATGCTCCCGCTGTGCAAGGTGGATGAGCGTCATGTCTCGGAGTAGTAGACATCAGGGGAGCTCACATGAACACCGTGACATCCTGTCGATTGCTGCTAATGGGCTTGCTGACCTGACCAGCTTTGATAATGATAGCATCCAACCATCCATAGCTGCACGGGATCAGCTTCGGCGACCCCGACGTCGATCCAGAAGTGTGGAACATCATGATCGTGTCTGTCCTCTTCACAGTGCCCAGGTCTGTCATAGCAGGCACTCGGGCCCCGCGAAGGTCGACACCGTGGACGTCGACGGCCGTGTGCACAGGCACATGGCAGCCGGACAAGGCTGGAACATATGCAGCATCGTAGATCAGTGCCCGCGCATTCGCTTTGTGCAGCAGCTCGTATATGATGTCCGGGTTGGGCAGTTTGAGCGAGAACAGCTGTGGGACGTATCCGGCTCTTGCGATGCCGTAGATGTGGAGGACATCCATGTACGTCAGTCCACCAAGCCTGAATATGCTAGCGTTAGAACAGGCAATCCACCCCGGTCTCGAGGGCTTACCAGAGGCCCACGACAGACCGCTGTGCAAGTCCGTCTGCAGCCAGCGTGCGGGACCAATAGGTTGCGAAGAGCTCAACGTCGGATTCGAACTGGCTATACGAGACAACTTTCCACGACTTGATTTGATTTGTTCGATGGTAGACGACAGGGACTCTGAAGGCAGGTGCAGAAGGGTAGAGAGATGCGCTCTGTGCGAGGACAGTGAGATGAGTTCTGAGCGAGGACACCATCATGCAGGAATATAGCTGGTATAGGATAGAGTAGAGACTAGTAGATATTAAAAGGAAATAGCTAGAGTAGCAGACGAGACTATGAAAAGCAAGGTAGATGTGCTGGAGAACAAGTCGACTGTCCATCCGATGGCTCTTATATGCCAAAGCGTCAAGTGTTTTGCGCGCATCATGCGCTTGCAGATGACGACCAGGGCGGACGTCGGGTACCCAGTGAGAGAGCGAACGGACGTTTCGCCGTATGACGGTGCTCGAACACGGCCGTTGTTTCTGGTCCTGCACGATGTCAAAATCGTGTCCAAGGGCTGTACTGATCACGAGTAGCTAAGCGAATGAATCTACGATACCTGCATATTTCCGGTCAAGCGGCGGTCTCGCGCGCTCCTGCAGGTATTCCGAGCGGGTCCAGCTTTGCGACAATCATCTCCACCAGCATGTGGAATAGAGAAATACGTGTGACTGAAAGTATATACGTGGACGCCACGCCTCCGCCGCCTCTCCAGAAAGTAACCCCAGGGAAATCAGGAAGCAGGGAGAGTCTAGCTGCCAGTGGGCGCGCCACCGCACAGCCGCCACCGCTCGCGTCACTCCACGTGATCGCATCGCGCGTTCAGCCCTGTTCACCCGCGTCTTTCCCCTGCATCTTATTTTTGAACGCTCACGCTCGGAGTTATGCTTTCGCGTCCGTTATTTGAGTCACCAGACGTTTTCACAATCATCAATCACATATTAAAAGCAATCATGAGCAATTAGCACAGTAATCGCACTGCTACGACTATCGCAGAAGCACCAGATCGTCAACGGTCAGATAGATGCCCCTGCAGGGTGCAGGAGATGCTGTGCCACATTGGGCCGCCGCTGCCAATCACCACTGTCCGACATCGACACGGACATAGCAGGCTACAGGAGAGAGAAATAAGCTTGCCTCTTCTCCGTCAGAGATCGGATTGGCAGGGTGCTTCCACAGCCCCTTCCCGGTACGTGCGCATACGTACGGACGCGGCTACGGTGACTGGTGCAGCCAAGACAAGCTGTTCACTGCAGGCGCCATAAATTTCAGCGATTGCAAAGTGAGGCAGGTTTCATCTATGAGCTTATAGTATTTTACTGTGAGGAAGTGAAGATATGTCGGCAGAATCTGTTTGGAAATGTGTGCCTGACACCTGTGCTCAACATTTCCATTTCTGAACGGGTCGTTCACTAGCATAATATATTATGCGCGCCGTACGATGCACGACGGCTCTTCAGGACGCGGTGCGGTGCTGGGAATTGATGTTCCCGGGTTGTTATACTGTTATTTGTAGTTGGAGATAGCTGGAACGCGGTCAAAGGCAGCCCAATGGTCGGGAGCACGCTAGCCGCGGCGCGACATGCAAATCCCGGTTATGCAAGATCGTGCCGCGAAGCGATGGCGTTAGTCTAACAGATTTGCGGAAGCTGTGGATCTAGCCAGGTTCGCCTACCACCGGGCCGTTCTTGGTCTGCATCTGGCGTCTCACGCTCCCCGCTGTGTTTCGGCAATTTGGGACTGGCGATCGGGAAGCTAAAGTCGTGTCCTGTCTACGAATGCTCTCAATGGACATGACATTGCATTGCGAATGAGTACACTTACCGCCATGAATTCCCCGTCCTCATGCACTCTGGAGAAGGAATGCGAGTCGTTCGTTGCAAGGGTTGTTCCAATGTTTCTTGATTGACAACTATGCGCCACGATTGATAGCAATTGCTACGGTCATATGAACATCATGCATTTGAGGGCTCGCCAAAAGCCTGTCCAGCGGCGGCGCCATTGAGGAACTCCTGGAGCTAAACACCATGTCTTGCTCATCTCCATTGAATTGCACATGCGCCTATCTGTATGCTGCGATAATCCCAGATGATCTAATGTGTCGCATATGTGATGAGGCTATACGGAATAAGTACGGCACAACCCAGTTGACCCCGAATGGACGTGTGTGGTTCACGCACAACGGCTCATCGATGACGAAGCGCACTTCTTCTAGTGCAACGTCGCGCCCGAGGTTCAATCCATGTTCTGTATAAAAGGCCCACATATAAACGAGAGCCTTCGCAATGACATCAAGTTAAGAATTCGCTTTGTGTACCAGAGGGGGGCATTGTAAGAGCACCTACATCTGCAACCAAGTCCAGCCTCCTAAAAGACAAGCTCGCAATTTCAAGCAGCTCCTGCAATTTCGGGAAAGGGATATCTGCCAATGATGAGTGGGTGACCGTAATGTAGAGGCAGAAGCTCTGAGAACACGGATGGAAAGCCATTTCCAAAACATTACCAATGAACACGACAGATGGTGAGGTTTTCGATGCTCGGCAACAGGCGTGCAAAAGTCACAGCGGAGGTGCTGGGGTGTAAAATATTGGTATCCCCTGTAGGTCTTCAGCATCTCGCATGGCCGCAGTCTTGATGTGAGTCGCATGATGAAAAGACATGCGCACTAATCTTACAAGCGAGTAGACTCATCCCCCGCTGCGCAGGACAACCGCTGAAAACAAGATAGTCTGATCCCTCCAATACCATGCCTTACAAACGAGAGAACATGCATAAAGTGTAGTATGACCACCTGCCAGAAGATGAATCATCTATTCGCAGACTTCCGTTGGGAGCTCTGGAATGCTGAGCCGACAGAGGGGTCTGGGCATGAGTAATGGCCACAGTGGGTTCACCAGACGAGCGAGGTGACAAGCAAAGGCAATATTAGAGCCACCGGCCTGAGCAGGAAAAGACTGTCCATAATATATTAGTGTTTCCTATCTCTCAGCGCGCGTCAGTAACCAGAACTTTGGTAGGCCTAGGAATCAACGGAGGTGCCGCAGGGCTTTTTCTAGGTCGTCGCTTCCTTGCAATCCCAGCACGAAGATGAGAGTACATGTGTCGATAGATGTAGCACCATCAACAGCTCAAGGATACAAGTAGCACATGGGTGTACTGCTCGTATCTCCATTTATGAGATCCCGTAGACAATTCGCTGGGTATGCTTGGGAGCGATAACCTCCCATAGCACAGGTTCTGTGCTTACAACTCGAGGGAACTGTGGATGATTATCTCAACTTTTGTCCGTCTTGAGAATGAAAACCTTATAAAGTAGTATTCTAAGTAGCTCTAATATACCGGCGAGAATAATCACCTGCCTTCGGAGGCCTAAGTCGAAAAGTCGAATTGACAGAAGGGCGAAAGGGTTGTAAGCGCTCGTGTCGCTTACGAGCGCCCGGACGAACTCAGAGCCGCCCGAGCAGCATCACTGAGCCTTACCTTCCACCACTTGGAAGTACTATCAACTAGCATTAACTCAACTCGATTGTGTGAAGGCTCGTGAAAGATGGTATGTGACTGTTAATATCACTCAAGAACAACCTAACGACGTCCTTGTTCAGGCTCGTAATGAGGAGAAAGCACAGTCTATGCTGTATCGTTTCCGCGAGGCCCAGGCAGCGGAGCTGGGCCTCGGGACGCGTGCAGATCGCCGGCCAAAGATGGCGAGCGCATGCAAGAGCCTGCGCGAATGCGAACGGTGGCGAGGAGAGATTTTGAGGGAGATCAGTCGGAAGGTGTCGAAAATCCAGGATGGTGCGTCTGTCTACATGCTCGCTCCGCTACTATGTAGCTGACTGGCATATGGTGTCTTGCAGCTGGTCTCACGGACTATGAGGTCCGCGACCTCAATGACGAAATCAACAAGCTCATGCGGGAAAAGCGGCACTGGGAGAACCAGATTGTTGCACTAGGAGGCGCAAATTATCGGCGGAATGTAGCCATGGTGGATGACGACGGGAAGGAAGTGCCCGGAACAAAGGGATACAAGTGGGTTGTTCTTCCCTCGAAGCACGCGCATGTACCGACATGACTTAACAGATACTTCGGTCGAGCTAAGGAGCTGCCGGGCGTGAAGGAGCTCTTTCAAAGCAAAAAGAAGGAAGAGGAGGAAGAAAGCCAGGCGCAGAACTTCTACAAGAAGTTTCAGAATCAGGGACCCGCATATTTCGGCGACCTCGATGAGGTTGACGGGAAGTTGCTCGACTTTGAGATGCATGCAGAAGACGAGGGTCTGTTTTGCTGCTCAATTTGTTGCTCATACTTATGTGCTGATACCTGGTGTTATTGCGCAGAATGGCAAGACGCATATTCACATCTACGGACAGTACTGGGTTTACCCGTAGACGAGCCAATACCCCCAATACCTCGACCAGCCAAGACTACAGCCACCATTACCATCACCGATGCGTCAAGTACAGAACCATCACCACTAGACACAAAACGAAAAGCGTCCGACGGGGACGTCGACATGGCTCCCGCGGACGGTGCAGACGACCACGCCAAGCGACAACGGACAGACGCCCCCACTCAGACGGGCGCTGGCGCTAATGCAGAGTTATCGCCACAAGAAGCAGCCATGACGGCTGCGCGAGCGACGGCGGCATTCATATCGTTCTTGTCGCCCGAAAATCTCCTTCCTCCCAAGATGCCAACGAGGGAGGAGATGGAGCAGTTCTTGCTTGACCTGCGCAAGAAGGCGCTCGTGGAGGAGTATTTCGGCGACACGCTGTCGTAGGGGCCGCCAGGCTCCTTCCCGCCGCTGTGGGAGTTATAGGGGCTCAATCCGACAAATTTGACGCAAGCTAAGTCCTGCAAGCCCATCTGCCACACTTGCGCCACAATCCGGCTACATCCGAGGCTAAATCAAACTCCGAATCCCAACCTTAAACCCCCATAACTCCCTACAGCGGCTGGCACAAAACATCTACAAACAGCGGAGGAGCGGCGCATGTCACCTCGATTAGGAAGGCAGGATAATGGCCATCATTACATAATTATCTCGGTCCCGTGTACAGTAGCGTTTCTCGCGTCCTAAGGCGCGTCGTGTCTCGTCGTCCTTGGTGCAGTTTTGTGACCAATAACTATAGCTTTCACACAGCTAATGAATTTTCTACATCTGGCTTTCACACAAAGGATCACATCCCTGTCGAGCTCAATCTGACTGATGAAGGCGTCATGCAACAGTGAACACCCCTTCGTTGAAGAACTCATCCTCGGCCTGGCTGGCACTTCAGCGCTCTCAATGCATTTGCAACCCAGGTTTTCGACTGTCACATTGAAGATATGGCTTCCAAAATGGAAAGTGTTGCGAGCAATGGGCTTTCTGCGCATTGCTGTTATGCTTACTTAGGGGGGATTGCAATGATCTCAATTGATGCAATCAAAATGTTTTGATGACATTTATCATATCCGGGAATCAATCCTGCCTCATATGGGATGTGCGGCGCCGGTCCTCCGCTGTTTGTAGATGTTTTGTGCCAGCCGCTGTAGGGAGTTATAGGGGATTAAGGTTCAAATGGGATATCACATGATATGCACGTGATGAGATGGCACATGATCTGTGGCAAGACTTCTATTCTCGGATACACAAGATAAAACATTGAGTACGCTATTCGGATGAAGTCCCCTATAACTCCCACAGCGGCGGGAAGGAGCCTGAGGGGCCGCCTGAAATTTGTTGTTCTTGTATTATATCCACTACCTGTCAAGCCTTCAAGCTTTGTCTCAGGAGCCAGGCAGGATGTACATCAGTCGCACGCGCGCCTGTGTGCTTGACCGACCGGGACATATGACGCGAGTATCTGAAGGCTGGATTCACACGTACACGAAAAAGTACAGTTCTGGTACAATTCTTGTGACTAGCAGTGTTCTCATTCGCATGAATTGTGACCTTGCTCGGGATGACACTCACTCACTGAACCCTGATGCCTGGGAAAGTCGGAACCATATCGTCAGCACCGACGATAAGAATGCACTCGATTAGATCAGAAAGGCGCAGTGCGAAACGATGGCCCGCAACGCATGGACGTCACCATTTCCCATCCAAATCCGGGAATGCCCTACAGACAGATCTATCAGCTCCTGCCTGCGAGAAGTGGTTCCACATCCTTGTGAGCTGTCACAAAGGACATTTTCTGATTATTGGCAAACCACAATAATGGGCGGTACAAGGGATATACTGTCGCTTCGTACCCCACAGAAGCCGCAGGGAAGGGAATTGCGCATGAAGAAGCGATCGAGCTGTGCTCTGCCAAGTCATGGGGAGATCTCAGAGATTCCAGAGGATTCCAGTACGGTAATAGCATAGTCTAGAGATAGGAAGTATTAGCTGAACCAAACATTTCGTCACTGCACTGCAAGCTCAGCGTTGGTTCGCTTAGCGCTCTCATCATGCGCGCTCATACGAACATTGAGGCCAGATCGTGAGGGTTGTCTGGGCACTCACTTCTTGTTGCACTACATCAAGATAAGAAGTTTGACAAGGAAAATAGAGTTTCACAGAAGAGCCCGAGTAGAGAGCCGCTCTAGTGCCGCAAGGAGACTTAGACCGACGACAAAACCCCAAAGAGAAGCGGCAGTCGAGAATAAGTTTACACCTCCGCTACTTGAGACCTGCCATAGGCGTTGTTCGTGCGTGAATCCGCGCACAAAAACACGGCATATACGAAGACTAGAGCACACAAGGGACGCCACGGCTTGAAGTCGACACACCGGGATACAAAATCACTTCACTACGGCCTTCCGGATACTGTAGGGTAGGGCGATGTCATTCTGGCCGTACGTATTACAATCGATGCCAAGGCTCTGAGAGTTTGCCAGACCAAGCCGGTTGACCGCGTCAGGCTGGCGACATACGGCGGCAGTCTAGGACAATGCCGAAGGGCGAGAGCCGACGAAAACACGATCAGAGGACACGACTGAGGCGACCGCGAATATCCCTTGCACAGCATCAGCGTCCTTCCACGGTATACGAGAGGCGGCGGACGCGCGAGACGATGGCAAAGCACAGGCGGTCGGTGACGAACGGCAAGGACGCGATTCGCCGTCGTCCGACGGATCCGTTCGGTGCAGACGCACCTGTTCCCACGTGCGCACTGCGACATCATAGCCCCCCTTCACGCGCCGTGGCTCCTTCATTCTGCTCTTCTCTTGCTGTCTGTCCCCGTCGTAGGCGATACCTGCACCATGCTCTCAAGACAAGTCTTAGCCCTCGCCCGCGGGCGGGCTCTCCGTGCCGACGCTGTCGCGGTATCGAAAGGATGGTATGTCGCCACGCCATTCGCGCATTTCTGGCGCTGAGCGTGCTGTAGGAAACTCGCGAGCTCGTATTCAAAACGGGCGCAATTCCACTCGACGAGACTACTGCTTGGTGCGTGGCCTATTCCTGGGTGGAATTCGGTGTATGCCAACTAGCATCATGTTTTACACGTTTAGCCGAAACCGTCAAAGTCCCTCAGATGGCTGAGTCCATCTCTGAAGGCACGTTGAAAACATGGCTGAAACAAGTGGGCGACACCGTGCAGCAGGACGAAGAGATTGCTACTATCGAGACTGACAAGGTGAGTTGACCCTGCACTGATCGTGACGCGTCTTTCTGGGCGAGTTTGTGTTCTCTTTCGGTGAGGCCTCCGCGCCATTAAGTGGTGATTGCGTTCAGATATGCACCTTGACAACATGGAAGTATATCATACTGTGGAAATGTCTCTGAAAAGGATCCCGGGGTTTATGGCACACCATTCTGCCTATATGCCCGCCTTACGATGTCCAGTTATACCGCTAGAGAACTCCGGCGGCTAGGTGCGCTCACGGGCCAACTCTTGTCCCAAAGATGCGCATACCGCGCTCGTGCCTAATGCTTTACGATATGTATCAAAGCTTGGTGCATGTTCCACAACTACAGGACATCAGTTCCTTTTCTGCGTTGTTTCGCGCATTCGCTGAGCTACGTGAGGATATGCTTTGATACCTTCCCGTTATGGTCTCTGTTTAGTGGGTTCCAATAAAACTCGCACGCGCACTAACGCGCTCGTGAGGTCGGTCTAATCTCGTGTTATATGCTCCTGGTCTGCGAATGACAATTCCCTTGCCTTTCTCGGTTGACGTTGGAAGATGCACTATTGATGCTCCGTGTTCCGAAACACGCGACGCACGGCCCCACTCTAGTCACAGATACACGCACGCCTCGTTTATCCGACGCTGTTGGGCCTCGCTGGTGTGTTGTGTACGTTATGGGGTCTCCGTTGTCCTCTTACGTTTCGTATGAAGCACCATTCACTATCCTCCTTCTCCTATTCTAGCCCTGTATATGCATCATTGCCTTGCTATCTGCCTAAATCACACGAGCGTATCGCCACGATAGGCTTTCTTCTGTGTGGCGCTTCAGATCCCGACGTGCAGAACTTGGTTTGTCTGTAGTCTGATAAATGTTTCGTCCATCCAGATTGACGTGTCTGTGAACGCGCCATCCGCTGGCACCATCACGGAGCTCCTTGCTAGCGAGGAGGACACCGTGTCTGTGGGACAAGATCTCTTCCGATTCGAGCCTGGCGAGGTCAGTGAATCAAAAGAGAAGCCTGCGCCCGAAACGCAGGACAAGGAGGAGCCCAAAGACCAACAGGTCGTGAAGGGCACGCCGCCGCCGCCATCACCGAAGCCCCAGGACGTGCGCGCCGAGGATAAGGCTGGCGTGCAGGGCGGCGAGGCGAAGAAGGAGTTGAAGGAGACTTCCAAGGCCGCCCCGCCGGCGAAGGGCAAGGAGACGAAGGCGACGGAGGCAGCGCCGCGCGTGGCGGGTGCGCGTACGGAGACGCGCGTGAAGATGAACCGGATGCGCCTGCGGATCGCGGAGCGGCTGAAGGAGTCGCAGAATGCGGCGGCGTCGCTGACAACGTTCAACGAGATCGACATGTCGAGTCTGATGGAGATGCGCAAGAAGTACAAGGACGAGGTGTTGAAGGAGCACGACGTCAAGCTGGGCTACATGAGCGCGTTCGCGAAGGCGTGCTGTCTCGCGCTGAAGGAGATCCCTGCCGCCAATGGGTCAATCGAGGGCGACGAGATCGTGTACCGCGACTACGTCGACCTGAGCGTCGCCGTTGCAACTCCGAAGGGCCTCGTCACTCCCGTCGTGCGGAACGCGGAGAGCATGAACTTTGTGGACATCGAGCGAGAGATTGCTGCCCTTGGCAAAAAGGTGAGTATGACAGGCATCTCTGGTATGGCGTCACCTGAATGTTTCCTGTGCAGGCACGGGACGGTAAGCTGACGCTCGAAGATATGGCGGGCGGCACCTTCACCATGTATGCGGATCCCCCTTGCGCATTGTCTGCTGCTAATTGATCCCCTCTGTGTGTAGTTCGAATGGCGGCGTCTTCGGCTCCTTGTACGGCACGCCAATCATCAACTTGCCGCAATCTGCAGTGCTCGGTGAGTGACGAGTTCCGCCTTGCGCTCCCTCGATCGTCCCGCCGATCACCCCGGACCAAAGCAAATGGCCCGGGGCCGTCTCCCTTGCTCCGCCCCTGTCCGTCCTACGTCAACTGCGGCTGACGGGTGTTGTTCATTTCAGGTATGCACACAATCAAGGAGCGCCCGGTCGTCGTGAATGGCCAGATCGTCATCCGTCCTATTATGGTCGTCGCGCTGACGTACGACCACCGGTTGCTCGACGGGCGGGAAGCGGTCACCTTCCTCGGTGCGTGGTATCGTTCATTGTTGCCCAGATACTTCATTACTGACGCGCATTGTTCTGGTTTTCATTTCGCTTTTGTTTGCGCTTGTGACGGTCGCTCTGCTTTGCATCTGTGCTGTTGCTGCTGCTGTCGACGGTCGCCCATTCACAGTGAAAGTACGGGACTACCTGGAGGACCCAAGGAAGATGCTCCTGGCCTAAGACGGTCTGGTTCTTCATATCTCGTCCTCATGGCTGTCGTAAGATATCCGTGCGCTCGCGTATACAGTAGTCTAGATATCGGGATGCGCATCATACAGCCTCCGGAGTCTCGACGCAATCCGTTCTATGTCTATAGTCTCCCGTCTGTAATGTCATCCCCGGACTTTGCCTCTTCGGTCCTGTGCCGTGCGACGGTGTCCCCACGTCTCTTCTCTTCCAAACTCCTTCCCAAGGGAGCCTACAAGCGCGCGCGATAAGACTTTTTGGCTTCCTGGACCGCGGGCCTGCTGACTATGCGGGTTCATCTGCGCGGGTCACGCCTGAGGGAAGTGCCGGCGATGACGATGAGGGTGCTCAGCTGCTCAAGCGGCCGGGGCTCGGGATGCCGTTTGGGGAAGGTTCCTGTTTATGAAATCTGCACGCGTAGGCCGAGATCTGGCACTAGAGCCCAGCGGTCTAACGTGAGATGGCAGGTGAGCTGCCCGACGGCCGGAGCAGCTCTCGTCTGGATTGGCCTAGCTACGCGGATCGACTCATTTCCGCGCGAGTTTCATCCAGTATGCGTTTGCAAAACACAACTGCGCTTGCAGGGGACAGCTCAAGCCGCGTTTAGAAAGTCAACACACGCAGCACAAGCCTTCACAATAGGTAAGGCAAAGGCTAGAGCATCACAATTGGCGGGAGACGTTGCAGGACAATAAACCTTACAGTAGGGTTAGGGGCTCAAAAGGCAGGGATTGTCCTGGGCAAGAACAAACTCCGATGCAGTTTTCATCTCCGACAGAGTTCGGTCAGGGTCGGAATCTCGCCTCGGGGGCGGTTCGGGTTCGGACACTTTACGCGCGTTACCCGTCCGGAAGTTCTCGCGCCCGCCATCCGTCGCTCCGACGTGTCGGCCACTGAGTTTCGTGTCGGTCGGGGGTGTACAATGCAGTGCGGAAGGCTCATACAATGCAGACTAAGACTGGGAGTACTGCGGTGCCAGTTAAAGCACAGAAACACGGAATCGGAAGGCGGAGACACGGTGGCGTATCCACAGGACGATGACGCCACAGCCGTGGGACAAGGATATGCTCCGCAGCGACCTAATCAAGCGAACTACGAGACAAAGCAGGCCACAGATGGTGTCCCCTGCCCGGGGCCACACAACTACGAGTTGCTTGCGCGATGTGCTGTCCAGTCAAAGCAATCACCGACTTCAGAAGATATCTTTCACTGAGCTTTGGTCTGTCCTGAGAGGCTGGACGAGCAATCGAGATGAGGCGAGACATGCTGGAAATGGGCGGACGTGGGACAGAAGCAGCACGGAGAGATGGTGTGGAAGAGGAGTGCGCAGATCAAGGGTGGGAGTCGAGGAAAGGCAGTGAATTGTGTGTATCAGGGCACGATCCAGAAGACGGCCGCATGGCTCGCGGAAGAGCTGAAGGGGGCAGGCTGAGAACATGGCAGCGGAGAGATCATGCTCTGGCAGATGGACGCCCACCAGACTGGTCTGCTGTCGTGGCGGGGGCAGCCACCGTCAGCCACCGCAGGCGCGGATGTCTCGGCTGTGGAGCGCTATCCACGAGGACAAAGTTCAAACTCCGCCTGGAGGGCGGTTGATAGAAAACAGGTGACCGATCGCAGCGGCCAGCCTTCCCATTATCCCACCCTGCCTCGTTTTTCATTCGCAACCATTCCGTCGCCGTCGTCGCGCACGTCGCCCTAGCCCCTCCCGCCGACACTCCCGCCGCCATGCTCGCCATCCAGAAGCCCCCACCACAAATGTTCGCTGCTCCCCTGTTCCGTCCGACCCACGCACGGGCGCCGTCAGCGCCTGTCGTGGTCAGGCCAACACATACGCCGGGTCTCCTATCCCTCTCCAAGCCCTTGCAGTCCGTCCCCCGCTCCCATGTTGTGCAGCAGTCGCAACCGCGGCAGCAGCAGCAACAGCGCACACCGCCTAGAGGCAAGCCTCAGCAGAGGTCGCCTCAACCAACGCACGCGCTGGCGCAATCTTCCGAGGACGCTAAGAAGCCTGCGAGTCTAGTGCCCAAGGTCAACTCTGCTACATCCGACAAGGCTCTAGAGAAGGCCGGCGAACACTCGAGTGGTGTGCTCGCCGACAAGCCCCTGAGGGGCCGACAGGCGTCCAAGGCCGCCAAAGCGCGAAGGTTGGTGTAGTTCAACTTTGTATCGCGTGCACGGAAAACACATACATACCTTACGTACCTCCACAGGAGCGCATCCTCTTCTTCTCGTGTCCCTGCGCGACGACCTTCCCACCAACCATCTCCTCCCCCTAGTACTAGGATACCCTCGCAGGCAGAGGTTTCTTCTAAACGCTCACCGAAGCTCTCTCGTCCCGCTGTCGCTGTCGCGGCAGTCGACCCGACCGATCCTTTCGCCGTTATTAGCCCCAGCACGCGCGATGCGCCTCCCTCTGACCCAGCGAAGGCTGGTTCCAAGGGCCCGGCGTTCCGTTTGCCTTCCCAGTTGACGCAGCCGTCGGGCAAACTAGCCCGCCGCCGCCAGCTGACCTCTAGACAGCCCTCGACGCCTACGCCTCCTAAGACGGCCCCGCGACGAAAGGAGAGGGTTGCCGCGCTCGTGGGTACTGTTAGTGATCCGCTTGTACCAAAGTTGGAGGCCACGTCAGTACATAAAGATGACGACCTTTCGTGGAACGGCTTCCCTATCTGCGATGACTCGGCCGACCTGGCTGACGACAGCGATGTGACCCCGCCGACGACTCCCATTAGGGATCTGTGCACTACTCCTGTCAAGGGGGTGAGCACCCTTCCGGTGAAGGGCGGGAAGGCGCGCCGTCCGGCCATGCCCTTTGACCGCAGCGCCCACTCTGCTCCCCGTACTGCACCGCTCTCTTCGGCGTTCGGCTCCTACTTCGTTCCTCCGCATCCGACGTCGACCCCGACTCCTGCCCAGCGTCGTCGCAATCACCGCCGTGTCCCGAGCGAAGGCGTGTTCAACATGTCCATGGACGAGGATTCGTCATCGTCATCGACGCCCGACGTTTTTACCTTCGACAGGTCCCCCGCGCCTGGCTCCAGGCGCAGGATGTCAACGGATCTGACGGCAATGAACGCTGTCGAGGGTGGTCATGCTTCCTCTGCTCCTCAACCTGGGTTTTTTGCAGGCTCGATGTTCCAGAGCTCTCCTAGCCCAGAGGAGCTACCTCCGCCGTCTTTTTGATGTACTGTACACACTGAAGAAATCTCCCAATGTAGACGTAAGGTGCACGTAGCGATCAAGTTGAAACCCGCGCTCATTTTTCTTCCAGTTGAAATTTACCGATACCATAGACGCTCCTGCCACTCTGAATCCATGGTTAATCACTCGTCGACCTCCTAGCGCCGTAATACCCGTCCATTATCGTCGTCTCGCTCTCGCCTTCGCATCTGCCGCCTTTTTACGGCTGCGGGCCGTACAGCAGACATTCCTCCTTCTGGTATCATTATCATTTCGGCTCACGGTTCTCGCCCTGGGTTCAGTCGTCTCTGGGTCGCCGGCTCTTTTCAGCTCTACATTGTACGATATTCATCACGCGTACTTCACTCGGTCAACACTCGGTCTTCGGTTATTCGCTCAAGGACACTCCCACCTCGCTTTCATCTATTTTCTTGCTCAACTCTAGATACCCCGCCCTTTGCTGGGTCGGTCGTCGACGCTGGCATTCATACCCCACCGTCCTCGACGTCTGGGCACCGTATTAGCCCACACCCACCGACATTCGTGCTTCTGCATGCTTGCCGGGTCGTGAGCGCGGTCACAGTCTCCCCTTCCCCTTCCCTGTCCTATATATTCCTCGACTCGGTCTCCGTTCGCATCTCCACTGTGCCACTACCACCCAGTTCACACGTGCATGCTCTCGTATCCCGGCATCCTCGCATCGCATTTCATGCTCACGCGGCGCTCGGTGCCGCGTTGTAACAACAGGAAAACGATAGATTGGCAGCACATTAAACTCAAGAAAAACCATACATAAAACGCCTGGCTGTCGGAGGGCGGCCGCCATCTAACTTATCCACCTTCGGCAGTGGTGACAAGCTGCCGCGGGACTATTATCTGTCGTCTCGTTATTCTTGGCTGGCTTCGCGTCGCCGTCGTGTGTCTTGGGTTTCTGTGGGACTCTGCTCGTATCCTCGGTCTCCTTTACTCGTCCCTCATCATACCTAATGTAGCCTCATCGGCGCCCTCCCATTCCCGTTCTTGTGGTGCGCGTTGATCTATTCTTATCCGCTAAGGATACTCTGTCTTCGATCTTCGCCCCTCATCCCCTTTGACCCGTCGTCTTCAGCGTCGGCGGGTTGCATCAGGTGTATCAATACAAACCAGCATCATCGCTTGTCTCCATTTATCCCTGTGCACTAGTATACAAAGTCGTCGGCCGATGTTGCGGGTTCCCTGCGGCGGAGGTTGTCGGCGCCATATTCTATACTATAGTCTGATTCCCTATTCATCTTCCACCCCGTAGCCCCATCTCTCTTTCTCTTTCTTTCTGTATATACGACACGTGTGGGCTTTCCGCCGGTGTATGTTGATGGTTCGCTTGTGAGTGCCTCTTCTTGACTTTGGTGCGGTTCTGTTCCTGACTGCTTTGCACAGCCGATTGCCTATATACACACGTATACGCACAACCAAACAACACCTCGAATTGTCCACATCGCCGGGGCGTCGGTGCTACCCAATCGCTCTCCACGGCTGGGCTCGCTTCGCCTGTACATAAGATTCCCTGTCGACGCCCGGCGGCCTCCGATCACGCTCCTTACGCCTGTTTTTCTAGTCCTATATATCATGACATAGACATGTGTCTATCTGTTTCCGCTTGCGCTCGGCTCTGGGTCCCCTCAGTTTCCTTCGCGTCTCAGTTCACTTTTCTGGTTCACCTTGCCCTCGCTCCCATGCCCAGATCGCAAAAAGGCCCCGACCGTGCACAGTAGAGGCCGGCCGCGCATTCTGTATCAACGGCCACCGCACCCACCGTATTCCACGCTCCATTTGCCATCCAAGCAACAGTATCGTCTATCCTCCCCTCCGTTGTATTGCTGTATCGCATCCCCTGTATGCGCCCGCACCCTCAATTTTCCAACTCTGCATCGTACAATACAGTGGACCAAGCTATTGTCGCCGTAGATGGGGGGCGAGTCGTGGTCGATTGGCGGTAGTGGGAGGGGCGTTGGGAGAAGGCTGGATGTCGCGTGTTTATTATGGAAGTGCTGGCTGGCGGAAGGCGGTCGCACTGAACAGTTACTGCTGTACTGGTATCAGGCCTCTGTACATCTTGTATGATCAGTGGTTGAATGAATATTGTCAGTCAGTTCTATGTCGAAACCTCGAGTGCAGCGTATCTTTCAACTAGTACTATCACTCAGCGTTGCTTTTTAGATGGTGAGGGTCGCCTGCGGGCCCTCAGGATCTGTTACCAAGAACTATATGCATGCTTACTGATGAAGCACAAGCAGTGAGGTGGCCGGGCGGGTTTCGAGATGTTTCAGAGTGTGTATTGTGCTACAAATACTAGTCTAACGATACATGATGATGTAAAAAAATAGCGAGCGACGACGACAAACATACGGCGGTCGAGGTATTTCCACATTTCCACATTCTAAGGGAAAGTCAAGATGTAGTCCTTCATAGGCTTTTCCCAGCTGCAGCGCGACAGGCTCTCCACGTTGTCGTCGATCCCGCTACATGCGTTGAGGAGCATGTTACCAGTCTGTCCCATCACGGCCCTGAGATCGGTCTGCACGTCTAGTGACTGTCTCTTGACGAGAATGGGGACCAAGACCTCCTTGCCATAGCCAGAGCTTGTCGACATAGACTGTGGAACCGTGTCGTTATGAGGAGCAGAGACAGGTGCAGTCCGGTACCCAGGCTTTCCAGTCAACTTGTGCGAGCTGCCAGAACCGGAGGACTTCGAACCAAAAGATTTGGCCACAGTACGAGGATATATCCGGCTCCCGCGAGCAGAGTGCTCTCGCTGCGCGGCCTCCGTGACCGCCCGCTCGATACTCGCATAGGTCGGCGAATCGGGCGCAGAGAGCGCCACTAGCGAATCGCGCGTACAGTTGAACGCGATCTCGCGCAGCGTCGAGTAGTAGTGAACCATCGAGCCGGGCGTGCCGCAGACGACGGGACAGTCAGGGTTCGGGCAGCCAGGCGGATCGACGCCATTTTGCTGACATTTGCCGTGGAAAAACTGGGGGAAGATCGCCCTCTCCATGCTGTCGTATGCTTGCTTGTTGTACGCTTCGACGAGCGGGGAGAGATAGGCGCGCGTGATTTCGAGACGATTGCTGGGTATGAAATGGGATATCTGCTGCGCCTGGAAACCGAAAAGTCGACAATTCAACGTGGAGCAGCCGAGACGAGTGGTTTGGATGACTTACCACGCTGTCCATCACAGCGCTGATTGGAGCGGTATAGTTTCCGAGGAACACATTCGTGATGGCAACGATGCATTCGCCCTCGCAAGCGGAGACAGTGACCGGCACTGCTAGGAAAATGAGCGAGGTAAGCGAGGAGAAACGCATCGTTCAAGAAAAAGAAAAGTCAAGGATCAGGCCCACAAGACACTAGTTGAAGATGAAAGGAGACGACGAAGTTGTTTCGTCTCAGCGCGTTGAACTTGGCATTTTCGATCACGTGCGCTCGTGCTCCGAAGAATTCCCTGTGTCGGATTTCAATCACTTCGAAGTAAGAAAGTATGTCAGAGCGGGCGAGTGAGAAGGTTCTTGAGTATTTAAATGTATAAATTGAGCGGTTGGACAAGGTCCCATGGTCCGATTCAATAGGGGTGACAGTACGTCTTCATGACATCTGTGGTATTGCGACCATCATTGTAATATAGATGTCACATTCCGTAATAAATGTACGGATCTGGCTGTCACCGAAACGACGACGTACAGCGAGAGATTGAGGGCATGCGTCTCGAGAGCTTTCGACTCTACCCCCAAACTTGTGTTCATTCGCGACACACCTAGTAGTCGTGAAGTTTGCTCAACACACAATATCGTTCTCGGAGGAGGGTTGTTCGTAGTCTCAAAAGACGGAGACGCCTTGAAACCTGGTGTATTCTGACAACACGTTACAGACCAGGAACATCCTGTTGTGACAGCAAAAAATTGCCACAGATCTCATTCGGTGTACCAACAGAACTTGGTAATCATTCCATATCATATCCTGGGATAAATGGGCAACGGATCAGTGTGTGCTCAACTAATAGAAGACGCGGTAGCTTACCACCTCCCCCTCCATCTTCTCCTCCACCACCTCCAAGATCATCGGCGTCGTCTCCTTCGCCGTTATCGAAGTAATTCTCAGCGTAATCGTTGTCGTACTCCTCATCGACATCGTAGTCGGACTGCGGGGCTTGCGAGCCAGCCTCTGAGCGCTCATCGCCGGACTTCTCCTAACGTGTATATGAGCGTTATCGGGAACAAGGCAGGACTCCAGAACGTACCTGTTCCTCGGCGTCATCGCCCAGGTTGTCCAAATTGATGCGCTTCTTCGGTCCTTTTAGGTCAGCTGCGGAATGGTAGATCCATGAGTATGGTGCAGACGTCGGACGTCGTATATATCAAAATACTGACAAGCCTTCCGCTTTTTAGGATTGAAGTAACCTTCGAATACATCTTGTGGGAAGAAAGGCTGATGCAAGTCCTCCCGTCTCAGTTTGGGCTGTGAGGCTGGCGACGGGCGGTACTTGTCCGAGTACCGAGAAAGCTCTACACTTCTGGTCAGTCAGCGGCGGCTGCGCACGTACGACAGATATGAGCACACCTGTAGATTTGGTGGGTTCAACAATATAATACGCAGACTGGCGTAGGCGCGTGGAGAAGCCGATCTGCAGCTCGCATATTCTCTTTTCCTCGTCAGTGTATTCTGTGAGCACTGGCAAGGGGTCCAGAGGCTATAGCAGCGGTTCAATGCCATCACAGCAATCAAGTAAAAAATTACACACAGGATAGAGAGCAGTTGCTTCTCGAGACAGGGATTGAATGTCGGCGAAGGTCAAGCCCATTGGTGGAAGGCTGTTCGCACCAAACCCTCCCCTTCCTCCGAATCCCCCGCGCCCCCCTCCCCTTCCTCCACCTCGCCCTCCTCTAGACATTATGCTGGCGAGTGATCTCGGGTAGACACGCGGGACGAATTGTGAAAGTCGATGAAGACAATGCAAGAGATAATGCGAGGGATAAGGTTACAAAACGCGGTTTGGAACTCCGCGTCAAATATAAGACCTGCGCGCTTGGGCTTTTGCTCGCTCTTGCCCTTGCCACCTTCCATCATCCCCTCAAGCCCACCTTTACTCTCGACGTTCAGGTCGTCGACGTGTCCAACACTCAGCAACACCCTTACGAAAACGCGTTAGTATCAAAATGGATAAGACTCTGGACGAGGTATACACAGTTTCGTCGACGCCACGTCCGTCGCGCTCACCGCCCTCGGTTCAGATCATCGCTACCCGCCCCAAGGGCATCCGTCGCACCACTAATCGACGCGGCTCAGCCAAGACCCAGGTTCTAGGTAGTCCGACCGCACCTATTGCCAAAGCACGCGCAAATGCTGCTGCCAACGGCACGAAGACCGCTGCCCCCACCGCCGCTCAACCTTCCGACAAGATTATCGTTTCCAACCTACCCCCAGATGTGAACGAGCTTCAAGTCAAGGTTTGTTCTGCTTTAGGATCTACTTTATCGCTCGTCTCAAGTCATATACAGGAATTGTTCCACACCACTGTCGGACCCCTGCGTGACGTGACGTTGCACTATGACAGTCAAGGTCGTTCCAAAGGCGTTGCTGCTGTTCAGTTTCAGCGGCGCGGCGACGGTACCAAGGCTTTTCAACAATACAACAATCGACTCATTGATGGAAGTTAGTATCGACTACTCTCACCTCTTTCGATCCCATTTGGTCTAGCTTGCCTGCTTATGGTTCTCTCACGCGAACCGCGTCGTTGTGCGTGGTGCCCTTAACACGATGAACAAGCTCCCTCTGGCGCAGAAAGAGTTTTCGCTGGTCGCTGGCCCTTCTCCGTCGACTTCTAGTCGCGTCTCCGGTTCACATCCAGTCGATGTGCTGGGTCACGGAAGGCTTATCCGTTGTCGAGCCTTGAAGGTGTGGGCAAGGGGTCTCGGAAGGAGGGTCGGTGTGGAGTCTAGGTCTGTTCGTTGGAGGAGTGAGGTGTGCTCGTCCAGGTTTCGTGGCTAATGATCCCAGTGGGTGCGATCGAGAACACGAAGATCCAGCAATGCGTATGTTGTGGCACAGTGCGGTTGTTCGACGTCCTTTCTGGCATGCCATCCCTCCCTTTACTTGCTTTCGCTACCCTGAACAGCCGACTAATGAACTCTACTTTCCCCTTGTCGTCTATCCCGCGATGCTTCCATCTGTCATCGACATCGCCTCTCCGACAGAGCGTCCCATGAAGATCGAGATTGTTGTGGACCCTACGCGTCCTGCGCCTCCGGCTTCACTCGCCGCTCGTGTTGCTCCAGCTCCCGCGGTTGCTACCGAAGTCACCAGGTTCGTCTTCACCAAAGGGTTGCCTACAATCGTGTTGTGACTGACTTCGCTTGAAGAACTGGTGGACGCCCGAGACGTGGGCGCGGAGGACCCAGGAGAAAGAACGAGAGGCCTGCTAAGACGGTGGCCGATCTCGATGCCGAGATGGAGGTAAGCTTGTTCCCTCATAAGTTGATTGCAAAAGCATAAACTCAAGTTTTCTTCGCAGGATTATACGGCTAACAACGCTCCTGCTGCTTAGTTCTATCTTACGTAGTTGTCACTGATCGCTGCGCGTCTCCTTCACGGACTGTCTCTCCTATGCTGTGTATTACCATACCTTAGCCAACCGGTCTGATTGATACTGTTCTGAAATCGCACTACTCTATTGTCTTGCCGAATATACCCAAGTGTTGTGCCGTCGATGAAACAATAGAAGGCAATGAAATCAAACTCAGTTGAAGATATCAATTTACAAGTTGCTTTCTTCTGTCATGGCCTTTGCAGCTATCGACATGGACGAGCTGCCTCTATACTCTGAGCGACCTGAATGGGTCGACGTTGTCCCCATTCCACAGTATCAAGACGTGGACGCACTCGCTCCCATCAATTACTCGGAGGAATGTCCGTCTGAAACTCTCCTGGGGACTTGGTGGTGTCAGACCTGACGTTCTGCACGCATCTACAGACCAAGATGCGACGGACTACTTTCGGGGCATCGTTAAAACGGAAGAGATGAGCCCACGAGTGCTCCAGCTTACTGAGCACATAATTCGTTTGAACCCTGCGCACTACTCTGCATGGTGAGCACTCTCTCGCGCCCCTCCTTGATCAATATTTGCACACCAGGACGCAGGCAATACCGTTACCGTACCCTTATCGCGTTGGAGTCCTCCCTCGAGGATGAGCTTCGTCTTATGGACGCATTCGCAATCGAGTTCCTCAAGACGTACCAGGTCTGGCACCATCGCCGGCTGCTGCTCACTGCCCTGCGCTCCGTAGATGCCGCTGCGGCGGAGCTCGCCTTCATCGCTCGTGCACTCGAGGCTGACACGAAGAATTACCATACGTGGTCGTACCGACAGTGGCTACTCGCGCACTTCAACGACGAGGACCTTTTGTGGAGTGGCGAGCGCGCTTGGACGGAGAACTTGCTCGAGCGGGACGTACGGAACAACTCAGCGTGGCACCATCGATTCTTCTTTGTGTGGGGGAGCGGTGTGAGGAAGGGGGATGAGGATCGGGAGGAAATCTTGCGGAGGGAGTTAACGTGAGTCTGCCCGTGGTCCGCCATTTTCACTCGTCGACTATATGCACCACCAGGTTCACTAAGGAGAAGATCGCTCTCGCCCCGAACAATCCATCCGCATGGAATTACTTGCGGGGAGTGCTTGGACATACGGGAACGCCGTATGCCTCACTCTCCCCCTTTGTAAAGCCATACACCGCAACTAGCGTCGAGAAGATCGATGTTGTTGACTTGGACAACCCAGTGCCCTCAGAAGGGGCAGAGCTACCATGCGTGATGGCCTTAGAATTCCTTGCGGACACATTTGAACAGGAAGGTGGGTCACAGATACCTAAGGCCGTGGAAGTAAGTCCTCAGCCACACTGTATGCAAACGGTAGGACTGATGTGAGTATCTCGACGTAGACTTGGAAATTACTGGCGAATGAATTTGATACGATGCGGAAAAAGTATGCGTTTGTCGTAGGTGCATGCCGGTTATGACTCATTATATCACAGATACTGGGAATATCGCATCAAGGAAGCGTTGCAGGCCTCAGAACCATAGCGTCATTCACAAGATAGTTTATGTAACATAGTGTAAAACTCAAGTCACAAATGTGCTCATATCTCTCCCCTGCTTCGCATCCTCTGCGATGGGATTTGGCCGCAGATTCAAGGTCGTCAATTTATGGAGACGTGTACTGTCTATATGATTACATTAAGCTGTCGCGTAATACAATAGCAGAAGATAATGGTGCGTGCATCCCATATCAATACTCAACTGCACGAGTCCATTGACAACGTGTCGTTACAGACAGACAGGCAAATACATTGCATGTTGTTCTAGTGCCAGACGGGCCAAGGACTCAAGGTATACATATTTCAGCTGACATCTGCATCACGGAGTCAACACGCGCCTTGATCTCCCATGCTGTGTTCATCTGAATGGCCCGCGAAGACGTCTGCTCTGCGCCGCTTCAGTTGTACAAAGCAGGCCGACATTCACGACGGACTTCTCTGAGACGACCATCTATTCAACAGTTGACTTCTCCATTTATCCTCATAGAAAGTGATGTCCTCACATCCCTCGATGATGGAGCGCGCCGGGGTCACCACATCTCCTTGTGAGCACCGCAGACTCCTGTGTTGCTTGATTTGAGCAAGCGCTAATAGCAAGTAACCCACCGCTTGCCTGTTAGGCCGGGCCTTCTACTTTCTTCGTATCTACCCTTCTCCTCGAGATATGCGAGACCGTCATTGATGCAGTCGCGGAACTTGGGGGAGTCTGGAATCACAACATTTGTCTGATTCTGCGGGCATGTGCGCTTAGTTGTCACGCATGGCTACCTCGCAGTCGCCGCAATATCTTGCGGAACGTCGCCTCGAGAGCACAATGTCAAGTCGCTGAACTTGCGCGATTCTTGAAGACCTGGCCTTGCCTTGGGCCCTTCATCTATCGCATCGAGATCTTCGCGATTGCGGATGTTACTCTGCAGAGGACAACCAGCTTTCCCATTATGCTTGCCAGACGTCTGCCTGTCGTTGAACGCCTTCACATACTGGACGGATCATTTCACAAAATCACTCTTCCCTCGTTGTTCCATCCTTGTCTCCTGGAGTTCGAGTCTGTTACAATCCTCCAGCCGACGAACATCGCATTCGCGTCGGTGGACAGCTTCATCGGAATGGTTCTAGCTCTACCGGGTCCTCGTGAACTGGAGTTCCGGGATGCGCACTGGTCGCAGCACGCTATCGAGCCAACTCCCCCCCTTACCCTTCGACCATCAGACTCAAAAGACCAAGATTCGGCATATCGGAAGGGCAGTCTGCTTACAGAAATACAATTGCGACGACCATAGTCTCGACCCTTGAAGAGGTGCATGCTCTGTCTCCCTCCTGATGGAGAGCCTGTCATGTATGAATATGGGTAAATTTCTCAGGTTCTTGGCCGCGAGCTCTCTTTGTCTTTGGTGGCTATGAAAGAATACCAGCGCCAATGACACTTTGAGTAAGTCATCTTTGGCGCTGACCTGGAGGGTTGTGGTTTGAAGATTATTCGCAGTGAAGATCATTCGCAGAAAGGCATCTGGACCTCAGCGAAAATTCGAACCTCGAGAGATTCCACATATCCATCGTCGACCTCGAGGAGGGAGATGAATGCGAATGGATTGCGGCTCTGCTTTCGCAGATCACGTCTGTCATAGTTCAGGAATACACTGTAAGCCTACGTGAAGTAGGGCCTGGAGTCGATATTCCAGGGCATGCCTCGCAGCTGTTCAGCTACAGAATATGCTCTTCCATAGACAACGCGCTTTCGGGTTCCCAACATCGCTATGTGCAACTGCAACGTGTGACATTCCTGTTCGATAGTCGTCCTTCTAATGCAACTCAGAGTGATCAGGAAGCTCACTGGCGCGGTGAATTTCTTTCTCTATTACCCAAACTGCGAACCCGAGGCTTAGTATAGTACGTCTTCAATCTTTGACCCTTTTCAACGCGAGACATGACTTATGCTCTTCAACTATGCGATACAGCCTTCGTGGCAACTCAAATCGACCCAAATCACGCGTTGAGCGTTCAAGGTGCTGGGAGACCTCACCTTGAGACCCTGAGATCAGTGATAATGTTACAAGGAGGACGCTGTGCATTTGTCCCAAGACCTCGAAAATTCTCCACGATGGCTATCAGACTTAATGGCTCCATTGTGCCCATCATGTCTCTGCGACTTAACCCGTGGAGGATTACAGTACGTGGTGGGTATCCGTGTCAAGGTGATTTGCCCGACAGCCGGGATTTAACGCGATCACGTGACAGCCGCGCTCGTATATGTAGTCTCGACTCTCGCGTATCATTGTCTCAGCGCCGCTGCCAGCAACTGGACGCGACTGTACCTATTGAGCTCTCTCCACTAAATTTGTTCTAATTCTCGCTCGACAATGACAAGTCGACCCGCTCTCATTTCCCAAGGGCTCATTGCACCAAGACCTTACATCCTCCTATTGTCACTGGATACAACACCGGCCTTAGAAGAGAAGAATAAGCACATCCTGATTGCCATTCGCTCGAGGGCCAAGGTCAAAGAGGCGATCACTGCGAGTCAAGCCAAGAAACGTCTCTTCAAAGACGACATACCTCAAGCTATCGTCGTGACGACCACTGCTATACTCGATCCTAAGTACAATAGAATCCTTGAACGACTTGCTGCGTATGCAAGAGGTGGTACAGTCATTTTTGCATGCCAACTTAGCGCTCCTACCCAGTGGCGGGCGATGGATCAGTTGATGCAGGAGTTGAACCTACCGTGTCGAGTCGGCTCATATACGTCTGCGGAAATTGAACTGAACTCTAGCATCACGTCTCTCAAGACACAATCTTTATCCACGAGATGCTCGGTAGAAGCCCTTTTCCTGAAGAACATCCCACGGAATGATGCCGTGTACCTCCCAGTTCAGCCCAGCAACATGAATGTACCGAGCGAGATCGGTGGCAATGGGGAGGCGCCAGTGGTGTTCATGCACAATTGCAGGGGTTATATGGGCTACATCGGCACGGTCAACCCTTGCCCCGAGATGACGGAGGTGGTCATGGCCATGTTCTCTGCACCGAACACAGTAGTAGCCTACGAGACGTCTGGCGCTTTCTCCGTGCCTCGCGATATCACAGTAAGCTCTTTATTCTGCTCCCACGCACTAACTAAGTCGTCAATGGATAGGAAAAGGCGAAATGGGAATATCGTCCACCTCAAAAACCTATGTCGAGCGCGGCAACTTCACAAAACAATGTTTCCAAGCCGACAGTCTTGCTGATACGACTCGAGGGTCATTATACATGTCTCACCGAAGACAGTCAGGTGTATTCAGGCTTGCACAAAAATGCCATCCTTCAACAAGCATTCACTGTCAGCGCTGTCAACACATACCTATCCGCAAGCCCGCCTCCCCATGCTGTCATTGTCACTCACTCTCAGGTCGCTGAACACCCCCTTCTCGTTCAGCAATTGATCGAGTACACGCGTGGTGGCAGGCGAGTGATCCTCGCCGATCAATTCGGGGCGTCGCTCGAGTTCGGAAAATTCAAGCCATTCTTTCAGAAGTGGGGGCTTTCTTGGGATGCAGGGTCGTACCATCGCACGACATTCGCCCTCAATCCTGTAGGAGTACCCTCGCCTCTGCGGCCAGACGCTCTCTTCCAAGCATATAGCATGAAGGCCACGCATCTGAAGGGTGTCGCGCGCCAGCATCGCGTATACGTTCCTACGCGCGGATCTCGCACCGAGTCGCAAGTCTTCGAGTCTATGCCCATAACTGGCGCTCTCCTCGACGAATCCCCAGCGGCATGGGCTCCTGTGGGAAAGGGATATTTAGGCTTCGTTGGTGATGTCAATGCCGAACAAGAAGCTACTAGGCTCATCATTGAGATGTGTGGCGTCTCCTTGAAACCCGGGGATTTAGGACCAAGGAAGTTCGGCACAGCAGTGACAATGAGTCCTTCCGGGAACAATGCAACTGAAGAGACCCACAGTGAACGGCCGCTCCCGGTGGCTCGTAGCACACCCATAACCCCTCGTGCACGAGAAGAGGATATCGCTGAACGAGCGGCTAAGAGGGCTCATCAGTCTAGGCAGAAACGGTTGGTTGCCGAAAAACTGAGAGAGCAGGTGGGTTCGACTGAGCACTCTTGCTCGACTTCGAAGATAATTTGTATATCTTCAGGGAAATCAGTTTTTCAGGGAGCAGCGCTACCCAGAAGCGACTGAAATGTACAGGCGGGCAGCACTTACCTATGGACCGCAGCCGATATACTTGTCGAACCTGGCTGCAGCTCTTCTCAAGATGCAGTGGTGCGTATTGCATGGGCGAAGCTCCCATGTCGATGTCTTACTACAAGTCTGCTTGTTTATGTCTCAGTTTTGAGCAAGCGGAGAGTGCAGCAGACCGAGCGCTGTCGTTCGACCCACAGATGATTAAAGCTCGCTTTCGACGAGGGCTTGCTCGGAGAGAAATTGGAGAATATGTAGATGCAATACTCGGTAAGGCATCGCTATCTAAGGCATGCTAGCGACTTAAATGTGTCCTCATTCTCATTTTGTGTCAGATTTTCGCAGTGTCCTTCGACAGGACCCTTCATCCGCTGCAGCTCGCGAGGAGCTAGAGAAAACAATCAGGATAGTACCCCAGATCAGACCCATAATTCCTGAGGACGACGAGATTCATCCAGAGGAAGATGACCCCTTGGACGATATCATGACTGAATCGGACTTTAGCGAGTTTGAGCATGAGGGCAACGGTATCCCTTGCCGGTACAGTAACCACAGCGGTTGCCGTCATGGCTCACAGTGTTACTTCAAGCATGCGCCAGATGACTACAGTGTCCGCGATGAGTTGTGAGTGCCTGATACATAAAGATGCGTCACCTCATCATAGATTCATCTTGCCAGGGGACGAAATGTATGTGCACTATGGATTCTAGGCCTCTGTCAGTTCCGAGACGCGAAGTGCTATTATGCACACGACAAGACATACTTACCTCAATATGGATGGTGGAGTAATCAGTCGCGAGTTCAAGGTCTAAAGGAAAGGGCACAGCTCCTGGTCACTTACGGAGTGTTGTCGTCCTTTGAGACCCGAGAGCTGATCGGAGGCACCTTGGGTGAACGCAGGAATTGGCGTTTGGATGCTTGGACCCTGCAATCTTACTGGAAAGGTGATATAGGAGCATCTACACCCCATGGACAAGGACCCAGCATGGGAGGGAAGCGTGTGTACACGGATGCCATTCGCCGGAACGGACAGCTTGAGTCGGGGTATAGGATCGCTGACGATGATGAAGAACAAGACAGCTTCGACGACACTGTAGAGGCCTCGGACGAGGATGAATGGGAGGAAAGGGCGGAAAACTTCGGCTTCACTCGGAGTGAAGTCAGCGAACTCATTTCTCAAGGCGTGAAGCCTTGGGATGATGATGCTTGGGTACGTCCTCACTCGTTACACCTTGAGTCATGGTCTGATCCAGCATGTTACTAGGACGTGCTGCATGCTCTATCGGACATGTAGTTGGATGTGAATGTGGCCAAGTGGCAACTGCGCCGGGTCGTAGGGGCACACCTTCGCTCTTCAGACCGCTCAGCGTATCAGTCGTATAATTTTGCTATGCTTGCTTTTCTGTTATCGGTAACGCCTAGTTTGCTATAATATCACTAAATTCATTCGCTGTATACCGTAGCGCCGCCTAGCCGTTCAAATGGAAGGCATACACTTCGACCTCATACTTTGGGAGAAGGGCCGAGGTGTAGGCCGAGCGGCGCTACCAAATACAGCCTTTATGATTTATGAACCTTTGCTACGCACACTCAAACTAGAATACAATTATGTTTAGCGGCGTCACTGTTACTAGTAGTAGCGATTCGTTCTCTTTCTCCATACAATCCATAACACTGCTTTTCATTTGTGGAATAAGGGTAGCCACGGTATATCGAAAGAAACTGCCAGTCGGCCGCAAGGAGTCTTGTGAGCACATTTCGAGAACGGAAAGTAAGAGTAGTGATACATAACACATGCTTCGAGTCCTAGGCCCTCCCTTCGCGGATCCACAATGGAGAGTTGGTGGTATTCCATTACGTGTGATCCTCAGCTGTTACAAGCCAAGACGGAATGTCCTCCAAAGAGATGTGTATGCTGTGTTCCGTAGTCACATATTATCAGCATGCACATGCCCGCAAAAGCAACGCATAAACCACTTACGCAAGAACGCCGCGGTTGCTCAGGGCTGGGAATCGTGACATGAGTTGCATCCGCCAGCTGCGCTCCTGTGGGCTCCCCGTCCGGGTGTGCGTGTACCACTCGATGCGCAACTGGACGTGCTGCAAGGTCATGGACGGCAGAGAAGTGAGCGCAGCATCGATTGAGGCGCACAGCGCTGGACTCAAGAGTAGCGACACTCGGGCCAATACATTCACGGCATCCGATGGCGAGACAAGTCTCAATGAGCATTGCCGCAGACGGGGTAATTCGAGTTGCTTGAGCAGTACGGCAACCCATGTGCAGCTTCTCTCGATGTCGAGGTGTCCAACGGTCAGGTGGAACTCCTCTAGGTCTGTTTGCTTGCTGAGGTCAATGTTTGCCTCTTGAGATTGTCTAATCAGCAAATCGTGGGAGACTGTTTGGCATGTAAGACTCACGAACTTGGGTGTCGGCCTGTACACCCCAATCATGCAAGTCGGGCTGGTCGATGTCGTACACTCCGAGCCCACCAGCAGACAGTGATAGGGATAGAGCACGAAGACGTGACTCGGGACGACTAACGAGCCGATTTAAGCCCGTGTCGATGAAGTGGACGAGTTCCAACTGTGCTATCAGATGGAACTCCGCGAGTGTGTGACAAATCGTCATAATATCAAAGGTCTCTGCTATGTCTTTATATGCGGCATTCCTGGTGGACTCAGGAGACACATCGTTGTCTAGCAGCCTGAGCACGCAAAGTTGCGGGCTGGACGCCTGCAACGGAAGCTGAGAGCGTTCTACATCATGCTGAGGCCATCGAAGCCCATCGCACGTGAGATCGCGGAGACCCGGCATGGACAAGAGCAGGCGGACGAACGGATGAACAGACATGAAAGTCAAGTCACGAACGACGACGGTGGAAATGGATGCGAACTCTGCGAGGCTCGGATGGAAGCATGGGCTGACTGGCGTGGTGTGCAGTGGCCCGTCGTCGAGGTAGATACGGTGCACGGCGGGCAGCTTGCGCGCGAACATCAGCGGAAAAGTCGCAAGTAGTTGCCACTTTTTGTGCTTCTTGACCTGGAGAATTGTCTTGCTGTCACTGATCTCGATGACCTTGACATGTGCACATAAATATGGCCTATTCTTCAACAGCCGCGCGAACCCGACGAGTTGGCTGCGCTCTTCGAACTTGACTTGCTGGACGAGATTGTGCAGACTCCTCGGCACCCAAACACGGCAAGTGAGCAGGCAAGCCAGTAGTGCTGACGAACCTCCCATTCCCAGTCTCCGTTGAGGGACGCAGACCATTCTGCGGCGGAATCAATGATCATTTCGCAAACTTCAAGAGGAAGCGTTGGTCCTTTGGCTGGTAGAGATGTTAGTGGAGACAATAATCCTCCTGTTGATTTTTTGTGCTGCACCAAAATTAATCAACACAGTGGAATCCAGAACAATGTTGATGCCACCCACAGACACTGCAGCGGGAAATTGTGTGATACTTCCCCCTTGCGACATATTCTGCTCGTTGTCTGTGGCGTACTGCTTGGGATGTGCGCTGCAATAGATGGTTATGACATAAGTGGACTTGAAGCAACGTAGTTGTGTGTCGGCTGACAGGCCGTTGCTGCACGCGCAGTCGTGTACGGGTGATGCGACGACATCGTTGCGAACTGACGCCCTACTAGTATGTCTGAAAACAGTGATATCATGTACAACCAATCAGATGTGCTGATTATGCGCCTCGTTGCATCTCATGCACTTCAACAATATTAACAACAATAGGTTTCCCTGCAGAAGCTTACGCCCAGGTCGAGGTGGAGACACGAAGGCTGACCTCTCCGAACCACGTCCTTGGGCCGAGCGTCTACATATATGCGCTATGTACTGGTTCCGCGCCGCTACCATGTCGTGCTGTGGGTTCTGCTCCACCTTCGTCGAAAACTACATGAATCTGCGAGGGGAAGTCTATTGTCATTGGGATCGCTGTCGCACTGAGTCGTAAAACATATAAATGGCACAAGCGTCATATAATGATGCAGTACTGAATACCCTAGTGTACGCATAATTGATCAGCAGCTTCGGTTCGCGCCGCTGCTAGCTTGCGTGATACTACATACGCTATGTCGGGATTATGCGTGGGGTCAGGCTCAGTCAGCCTATCATCGCCAGAGAGCCCCGCACGGGTAAACACATGCACGACATATATAATCGAAGTAGTAATGCGCAAATCCGTAGATCATACCTAACATCGCAATGGCGCCCCCTGCGATCCTGTTTGTCTTCTCCGAGCCCGGGTCAAACGTCACGGAAGAGGAGTTCCATGACTGGTACGACAACGAGCACATCCCTCTTCTTGTCGACATATCCGCCTTCCGCTCCTGGACGCGGTGGGCCGCGGTTGACGGAACAAAGCCCGCCTACGGCGCTGCGTATGATCTTGAATCGTATGATGTAATGCAGCAGCCGTCTTACAAGGCGCTCGTGGAGACGAGGAGCGAGCGGGAGAAGGACATCCTGAAGCGAATTCAGGTGGTGGACTGGAGGATATACGAGCTGCATGGGGGCCCCACTACACCGCCGTCAGCGCTGTTCGACCCCGCCAAACCCGCCTCTTACGCTGCCTTCGTCTTCATTACAACAAAACCCGAGTTCGAGGAGGAATTCAACAAGTGGTATGATGAGGAGCACATCCCGCTGCTTGCGAAGGTCCGAGGATGGATCAGGAGCCGGCGGTTCCGGCTGAAGGACTGGGGCCATATGGGTGTCGAGGTAACGAAAGAGCCACCGAAATATTTCGCAGTGCACGAGTGGGCGACGCTTGATGGGACTAGAAGTGAGGAATATAGGGCCGCTTTGGAGTCGCCATGGACGAAGAGGATGGAGGAGACCTTTCTGGCACGGGATGTGCGGGTCATGTCGCTTTTGAAGACATGGGATCGACCTAGTCTCCTGTGAGCGGAGTGTAATCCGTTTCTTTCAACCTACGCCAGCTCCGGATATCCATGATGTTATTGTGCAGGAGTGTAATTGGGGAACATCGCTTCTCCTGCGTCTGTACCAGTATTCATGCGTATCAGCGAATTATACGCAAACCAGTAATGAAAGACTGCATGGACTTACCTTGGGCCAACTCTTGAGTCAGAACGATGGCCATGATGCATTACGATACGCACCGCTTGCATAATCTTAAGACCCCTCAAATCTGAACACTTGATTGAGGAGCCACGGTCGCGCTCGTTGACATAAGAAGCATTGTATGACTGAGCTCTCCCCGCCAAATGAGTTGATCTGAGTGTACAGCCACAAAAGCATACCTGAGGGAAATGAAGGCGAAGGGCAAGTCCGGGGATTGATAACATTCAGTATTCTCCGGTAGTGTTGTTCAGGGCCCGGCTCGGGCCCAAAGCCCTATTTTGGGCCGCACTTTTGGCCACCGGGCCTGGCTTCATATTCAATCCAGGCCTGCATACTAGGCTCTGTGGCCCCTTGGGGGTCTTTCGAGGACTTGTGCTGAGCTATATGCGCCTCAGCTAAGCAGGGTTCGGCGGGCTTGGGTCTCAAAGCCCGATTGTGAACATCACTATTCTCCGGTATAGCGGTCTATAACTCAAGACCACCGTCACTTAGGCAACCTGCTCCCTCCCTGCACTTTCTGACGAATATGGCGTCCAATTTCTTTCGACCGCGCGATATAACGCGGGCCATCCACCTAGGGCGTTTTCTGGGTGGTTCTTTCGCCAGGTTTTCTAATTCTCCCCGTATCCTTTCTAGCGTCTCCTGCATGGCAGTAATCTGTGCCTGCATTCTCGCCTGCTCACTGCGGTCGATCGTAGTCGGGTCGCTGTTGGCTGCTCGTACCTCATTTTGCAGATGATTTATCCCCGAAAGTTGTCGGCTTGCCTGCATACGCAGTTGCCCGCTGGCTTCCTCCCCAGCTGAAGTACGCAGTAACGGCCTGTGTTCGTCGACGAGTTCGCCTTGCAACTGGAGTGTGCGAGGAGAATTTGCAACTAAGATATCCATCATCTCCTCTGCTGACGCAGGAGTGTTATATAGGCGGCGAAATCGAGCACCTTGGTCCGTGGCATCCTTGAAGTAGAACGTCTCGCTGGACAGCTCTCTCTCTCTACGCACGCCGACATCTTCTGCTATCCCGCTCCACATTGTCGTCGCAATGACAACGTTCGACATTGCATCCCTCCCACAGAGCTTGTGAACAGCGCAAAATTCTCTCTTGCAATTCCGCCGGCACGGTTATCGGAGATGCGGTACATGTAGATGATCCCGGATAGTTTTACATTTTGTTCGTATCTTTAGCTTGATATCAGTTTTCCCTGCCTCGCGCATTTCTTACAAAAACACTCACGTTTGTTCAAGAAAGTCTGCAATGTCTTTCAAAATCGCAGATTGTGATCTGTGTGTGTCGTCGAAGCCAGGTGTGTCGATGAGTTTGACATGCTCTCCGCGAATAGTGCACTCCGCAGTTTGCACTCTGATGGTACACGATTGTAGACTTTCCCCAATCTCAAGGTGCCCGCCGGTGACGGTATTGATGAACTAGAACCATCGAGATCAATATATATCATCAGATATTTTTGTGGATGTGTCAACTACAGTTGTTTTCCCGCTTCCAGTTGGACCGGTAACTCTGATTTCTCATTGTTAGCACCAGGACTGCAAGGACGATATCATACACGCACGCAATGAGTTTCATGTTCTTCACACAGCTATGACGCTGTTCTCAGTAAGTGCAGACCGCAAGTTTAGATGAAGGGCGAATGTAAGGTCCAAGACCTTTTACCTATGTATATATGCTAGGCGGCTAAGACACACTGTTGTTGTAGTGCGATTTCAGCATGGCAATGATACCACTAAAACGTCCAATCGCCGATTAGGTAGTCGCCGGCGACACGGGAACATTGAGTTTAAACATCAAACCTTAAGTCTAGATAGTTCCGAGAGAAGAGTTACAGAGCGTATACCGTCTGAGCTCACCTTCGTGCGTGTTCACGTAGACTCTTGTTAGTGTTGGGCCGACTCCGCAACGACATCCAAATAATGGAAGTGACAATGTTTGCACTTTGCACACGGGCCACCGTGCGAGCATAATGAACACGTTCCGCAGGCTCGGTGGCATGGCAGACTACGTGCCAACGAAGGGCACGATTACTGGCTTTACGCCATCGCTGGTGAAACAGCTCGAGCCGCAGAAGCCGTGAATGCTTTTCGACTATAGAGATGTCCCACTAACCTGCTATACACTCTCAGCCGTCGTTGCAAATCCCGACCCGCCCCTGCAACCCTCACCTCGGCTCGCCGAACAAAAGAAGAGCTTCAAAGAGAAGACAGCCATGGGATGAGTAGGCCAACTCCGTAAATTCACACCAGATTACAGCTCCCTCGCAAGTGCGAAATGAGGGCTGGCCACGGCTAGATAACGAACACCTGACTGCCGAGAGACTAAAAGTGTACGACAGAGGATCGGACAGGAACGAATGAGGACTTTACGAGACATCATAAAATATCCCAGATCACTGAACACTGTGTTTACGAGTAGCACCCACGGTTCCGACTGAGGGCAAGATCTTTGCTTGCAGACAAATCTATAACAGACCTTAGTGGCCCGTGAGTTGTAGTCGCGAAGGCATAGGAAATGGAGGCGCAGAGCAAGCATGACACGCCCAGGATTGATTTGTCAGCGGCGCGCTGCAGTCCAAAGCTCCACGTCTGCGCATACAGCAAACGCTCAATAGCTCTCTTTCCTCTTTTCTTCATCCCCCTCTCCCGCTGCCGACTGCTTCTTGGTGCCGACCTTCATGAAGTTCGCGTTCTCTTTTTTGGCGGCGGCACTCTCGCTGGGTAGCGCGCTGGCCTCGAATGTCATCGAACTCACCCCCGACAACTTCGATGCCGTGATCGGCCAGGGCAAACCAGCACTCGTTGAGTTGTGCGTAGCTCAAGTTGCTTGGAGAAGCGCTCCAAGCATGCCCTTAACTCCTCTAATCATTACCTGCATCCTCTAGCTTTGCGCCCTGGTGTGGTCACTGCAAGGTACGCTGCACGGGTGTGCTTCCGCATCCGGAGGCATGGCAGTATTGATGCGTTCCATCCTTTAGAACCTCGCCCCAATTTACGAACAACTCGCCGATGCGTATGCGCACGCGAAGGACAAGGTCGTCATCGCCAAAGTAGATGCAGACGGCGTCGGCAGACCACTGGGGAGCCAGTACGGCGTGACGGGCTTTCCTAGTGCGTAGGACTCCTCTTGCACTGGTTTGTAATCTAACGCATCGCCTCATCCTCAGCTCTCAAGTGGTTTAACGCGGCCGGCGGTGAGCCGGAGAAGTACGAGGGTGGCCGGGACCTTGACGCCCTCGCCAACTTGTGAGTTTCGGATAGCCTGTGCTCTGGATTCCTTCCCTCCCTTGCCTCCCCCCCTCCTGTGCGCCTACATCTACACGGTCGGTCTGAATATTGCAGGCTTTGCCTTGCCTCAGCGTTCCGCTCGTCCGGGGCTTCCTGAAAGCAGACGCCGTCGACGATCTGGCGGTGCCTCAGTCGTATTCATATCGTGTCCCTTTTACCAGCTTTCTCTTTGGCTGGGTGCTACAATATATGGAGGACCTGCTGGTCACCTATGTTCTTCGCCCAGTCCTCATATTTCGTGTTATTAAAGTCAGCCAACATCTTGCTACACACGGATAGTATCTATAATATCCCGGCGACATTTGTCGCTGATGGTGAGGCACGACTAATTGACCCTATACTTATCCTCACACGCTGCTGCCTATACCAGATATGCTCATACTGCTTTCCAGCGTCACCTCAAAATCTGGTGTGAAGTCTCTCATCAAGCCTCCTCCACCGCCTGCCTATAAGATTCTGGACTACAGCAACTTTGACGATGTTGTCGTCGTAAGTCTCCGCACATTCTCAAATGTGGCAGCGGCATGTTAACACTACCGTTGATCAGAACTCAGACAACAACGTCCTTGTCGCGTTCACCGCACCCTGGTGCGGTCATTGCAAGAATCTGAAGCCGACATGGGCCGAGATTGCGAAGGATTTCGCGTCGGAGTCTCAGGTACGCCATCATGCTCTTGTACTAGCACCGTACGCGCCGTAACCGGCTGCCCGCTGCTCTCAGTGCATTGTCGCAAACGTGGACGCCGACGCCGCGCCGAACAAGCCGCTCGCGGAGAAGTACGGCGTGCAAAGCTACCCCACGCTCAAATTCTTCAGCAAGGGCCACAAAGGTGCGTCTATCCCATGGCCCTGGCCACCCGCCAACGCATGACCGAGCGTCGATCCCCGCAGACGAGCCTGAAGACTATGACGGCCCGCGCTCGGAGGAGGCCTTCGTTGAGTTCCTGAACGAGAAGTGCGGCACGCAACGCGCGCCGGGCGGCGGGCTCACCGAGCTCGCGGGTCGCCTGCCCGAGTTCGACACGCTCGCGTCGCAGTTCGTCGCCGCGGCGGGCGAGGCGCGGGATGCGATCTACAAGGACGCATCTGCGCTCGCGGCGAGCGTCGGCCCCACGGCGAGCCACTACGTGCGGGTGATGGAAAAGGTCGTGAACGGGAGCGAAGAGTACCTTGAGAAGGAGACGAAGCGGTGCGTCACGCATCCATCGCGTGTCTCTTCCGAATGCGTGCTGACTGGAAAGCCGATGTGTACAGATTGACGTCGATCCTGCAGAAGCGCACGCTCGCGCCGGCGAAGTTGGATGAGCTCAAGGTCAAGGCGAACATCCTTGGCGCATTCAAGAAGGTTGAGGAGGTCGTGGCGCGGGCGACAGCGGAGCTGTGAGCGGCGGTTGTGTGCGACTGGTCGTGCTTGACAGTGTCGATCTGTATTTATCGCGTCTTCGATATGTCCCTTTCTCTTCTCGCGGAAAGTCCTCGATTATCGAGTGGGCTCGGAGGCGAGTATAAAGCTTCCAGTTCTAGGAACACCCCGCCCGGATTCCTGGTAACGAGGCCTCGTACAGCAAGACTTGGTACAAGGGCTTATGCGCATGATTCAGTGACCGGTGCACGTTCGCATTTGCGATCTTGAGGTGTCAGTCCGTCGTATTGGACAAGCAGGATCTCCGTACCCTGGTGGGGTTTACTTGTGCGGCAGAGTATCGTGACACCATAGATGTGGGAGCTGATAGATCAAGGGCGGATGCACGCGGACTATCATAGCGTATAGTAAGTATAAGACGAGACGCATTGAAAAAGAGTGGAATATACAGTTATCAGTGGTTGTTGGCTGACTCCTGTTCCGCTATGGCCCACACTAGGATCGTCTCCTCAAGCCAGACTGCGGATGAGGATTCATGTTTCGTGTCGTAGATAGCCTTGCTTACCGGTCCGTCTCACACACCCTGAGTATAAGGTCGATCCCGTGGGCCTAGGTCCTGTGCAAGAGCCGCCGAAACATACGGTGAGACATGCCATTCCATTCTTGTTCTTGTTCGTGCTGCGGAAGAATCATAGTCGACTCCGAGCACAGTCATCGCGCCTGAATAGGGGACCTGTTCGTGCGACGGGACCATGCGCCGCGGGCTGTCACCGCCTGCTTGGGATTCGAATCATTGTGCGCATGCAGTCTTTCTCCCGGCTGCCCGAATATTAGGAGCGTAGTCTGGCGTCAGGGCGGGCGCGGCCTAGCCGCGTTTGGCGATATGAGAACTGCGCTGCAGAGTCAGACGATTGCCGCGCCTAGGTCCATGGCGGAGAGCGGCCCTGCTTTTGGAGCTTGAGCGGGCTAGATGAAGGCCTTGATCAGAGACATGATCATCATCACTAGAAGTGCATCCACGTTTGTTCAGGATGGCGGGGAGCTCTACGTGCTAAGAATGTCATGTTCAATGCGGTTGCGTGATACAAATAGTGTTACACGGACCTTGCAGACATCACGGTCTAGGCCGCGCGACAGGATGATCGACTATGCAATCGGGCATTTGACTGCTAGAATCTAAATCTCAATGTATCTCGCCGCAGAGCGGGCTAGCGAAATCGTGTCAAATGACGGAAAGAGGAGGGAGTGAATACATGATTGATTCCGCAAATGCCATCATTCCCGCGTCACGGCTGAATATGATAAAGTACCTTGCTAAGTGAGCACACCTGATGTAAGTGAAATTGAGGACGGAACACAAAATATATCGTCGGATGCTAGGCTTACCTAGGGCCAGTAATACATCCGGCTGCCCCTTGATGGAGGTCTGGGCTGCTGTCAGTGCATGAGTATGAAGACACCAAAACGTACCCATTAATTGTTGTTGTAACATTGACGTCGAGCTTGTTCGGCCGGACAATGCTCGAATTGAGGCATTGACGGAGAAATATGGGGTATGTGATGGCGCTCAGTTAGGACGTGTGCAATGTGGAGGGGCCCTGAAAACACAGTGGGTGTCATGAGAATCCCGGCGATGCGCTTGTATGAGTATCCTACTGCTGCATTTGTAGTAAGAGATGAGCTCGGAACCCTTGAGAAGAGCGGAGATGATGACTATTGGTGTACCTGACCTGTGATCGCAGAATCTCGGACTCACACATCGCTGCCTTTGGACGAATTGACTTGGCCAGTGAATGAGTGACAGGCTCACTCATTGTCTTCTGCCATAGGCAAGATGGATCCGAGACACATGCTTTCCCTGGGAAGCACCGAGTCCGGGACACCTGATTCTTCGAATGCATTGCCCTGTCTCGGAACAACGCGGCTCCTGGGTGAAAGCATGACTTACAGCAAGGTATTTCTATAGAACTAATAGTCCAATAAAGCAATGGAAGGGACGTGAAGATGAAAGTCGCGGGGGCGCGTCAAGGGCTAGTAGCAGGTCTGATGCGTTCGTCCGACGTCCGCCCATGGTATGAGAGGCGCCTGATAAGCACTCTGAAGTGGGAACGTATCCGGCGCTGTCGGAGACGTCACACAAGACGCTACATTTAGAAGCGTACTCTGTCAATTTGAGGTTATTGAAGATGGCCTCGCGACGCGCAAGAAGGGAAATAGAGTTAGCTTAGGCGCCAACTACCACGCCAGGTGATGCAGTCATCATGAACTTAGTGTGTGAGTTTGCTGAGGAATCGCCGCGGACCTTGTGCTTATTGCTCCAGATGTCCGCCGGCGTCTTTCGCACAAGACAAGAACACTGGGCCTTCAAGGTCTCTCTCATCAACTGTTCGGTATGGAGGATGTTGTGAAAAAGGACTGACATGACAATATGAAAGACCTAGCCTCCAGATAGTCCCCAGTGAGAACACTAGAAGAGCGAGCAATGGACAGTCCAACCAGCGGCTTCGGCTTGTCATACCAGAAGTCGGCATCCCGAGATTAGGAAGTAGATCACGGGCGTCGCCACATCAGCTCCCCGATGCATTAAGTGCCCGCATGGTCCCAATGGTTCGACGAAATGGAAGGTCAGCGATGAGTTCCGATCGTACCAAGCCTTCGGGCGAGACCCCCGCTCCAGACATTCGACACCTCAAATCATAGTGGCAGGCGCGCCAGTAGTACACCCGCTGTTCCCTTTCATCCTCATACTAGGACGCGCGGATCGTTCTCCGGGGCCGTACAATGAAGATGATGCCTGATCAGCGCAGTGCCAGCCGCAAAGGCGCACAGGTCGACTCACTTTGTACGGATGTGGACGGCGTGCGAGGGCGCACCAGAACCACGGTAGCTCCAGGATGACCTAAGACGCGAACCCTGCACGGCATACTCGGGAATTCTCTGCAATCGAGAAGACCCGAGAGGCCAGGCGTGCAGCGTGATGACTCGGGCGGCGAGGCCCCCAAGCTCGTCGTCCAGGCCTCAGGAACGGTACATGTGTTACGACAGCGGATAACACGCAGCTTCATAAGACGTCCGCGATGGTGGTCGCGGTGCCCGCCGGTGGCCAAAACTCGTGCCGTACTGTCGAGGGTCCGAATAGATCATAGAACATCTTCATTGGAGAGAACATACGGGCATATCGGCTCTCCGGTGCATTATACGTCGCCTCGAGGGTGCTGCACGCCCTGCAGAGAATGAGAGATAAGCTCTCGATGTGAGCTTACGCATTATGTTGCTAAGCATTGCCGAGGAGAGTCAAGGGCATCGAGGTGTGCGTCCGCTGCAGTGCCTGGATCATCCATCAGCTGATAATCCACGTGCGCGATAAGATACCTTTCGCCCCCATGAGAGGGATCGCGAGTGCGGAATATGCGCGAGCACGCGCGCCCTGCCGACTTTCACACACAATTCAGCAATATTGACGTCAAGGTTCGTGTTCGTGACAGCCATCTCGACGACAGGTACGTAAAAAACCCGAACCCTAGTGGGCGATTAAGTTCATCGACTATGAGTACGCGCACGGAGTTAGAGGGCAGAAGCGCACCTCGGTACCCTCCACGTTCGTGCGGAATTGTTTTACGTAGGAAAATAGACGCAAGATATTCGAGTGGAGAGGATACATGTTCATAGCAGTACAAGCGACAGCGCCAAACGAGAAGATCGCATGATACATGTGGGAGAACTGATAATCTGACAAAGCCTGGTGATCATAGCGAGCGTTTCGAGAGCCGGAGTACAATCTTCAATCAAGCTGGGGCGATAGAGCTGGAGCGATAGGCATAGTGCATAGGGAAAGTCTATGTGACCGGGGAGTTGAATCGCCAGCCAATGACAACAGTCAAAAAATAGCAAGTGAGAGTTGAATCTCGGAGACCCGGAAATGATATGGACAGAGCGCATAGACGGGGGGGGGGGGGGCGGCGGGGGAAGGGTCGGCCAGGGATACGATCAGAAGAAACGGCGCCACAAGCCTGCTCTAGGACCGAGCCGTCAATTGAAGAATAGACGGTCGTCCGGGAGACAATTCAATGCGTGCGCTTGAGGAAAAATCGGCACGCCTTCGCTGCCATCGAAGAAGTCCCATCGAAGATACGGGCGGTTGAGCGATGCGACGAAGACCCCATTATTGCCGTACCAATCGCCGTGCATGGCGGAAACGCTTCCTTCGAGCGGGTCATGCATCATAGCAGCGTCTGCGACGGGCGGCAGCGCGAATGGAGGCGCGAATGCGAATTCGGGGTTAACGCGTTTGAAATATGCGTCCCCGGCCCAGCCCTTCAGCGAGGAGTACGAGGACTGGTGAGGTTCATGCGAGAATTGCGCTGCACCAAACACGCCTGCATCTGCATCGGGGAAAGCGTCCCGAAGATTGAATGGCGCAGACATCGGCGACTGCAGCGGGCTAGAGAAGTTGTCCGCGTCGGGCACAAACGCGGGTAATGGGGGACTCCAGCAGCCCGATTGCGCGGGGCTTGCGGCGTACATCTGCGTCAAGGATCAGCACCCGAAAGGCGGAAATTGAGAGCACGATCGGAAAATAAACGCCTACCTCATTCCACTGACCGAGGACAGGCGAAAACGACCCCGCGGCGAAGAATTCTGGAATAAGCGGCTGCGCCACCGACACGCCCCCTGCGCGCGCAGCTCCTGTGCCGTCACTGGCAGTACCAACAAGATTGTCTGCACGTGGTGCATCCTCGTGTTTACCAGGAGGCGCGATGGGATAATTCGTGTAGGGCACGTTGGCGGCCCAAGACGCGCCCGCGGCAGCGAGATCGCCATGGGCGACGAGGGCGAATTTTCTGGCGTCGAAATAGCCGCTACCGGTGCCGCTGCGCGTGTGCGGGGCGGGGGCGGAGGAAGACCGCTTGAACATCGCCGTGAGAGGGACCTTGAAACGAGCGTCGAATGCAGGGTCCGGCGTCATTGGACGCACATCTGCCGTATCCGCACGCTTGCGAGCGGGTTTGGCGGAAGAGGGATGCTCGATGGGGACCTCGACCGTGGCCGGACTCTGTGCCTTTGCCTCTTCCTGTCTGCTCACGGGGGCGTCTGCGCCCCCAACGCTCTCCTCCTTGATCTTCGTAGCCGCTCCAGCCGTGCAGTCATACTCCTTAATGGCCGCCTCCAGCGCGGAGCCCGTCTTGCCTGCTACGAGGAGATCGGCGATTATGGCGCACCTCTTTTCGCGGCTGTGTTCTTCTTTCTCTGCCTCCCCGCGCCCCTTCTTATTGACGCGCCTCTTAGGGCCGTCCTTTACCTTTGCGAGCGCGTTCGCCGCGGGCCTAAACCGCCAGTCGGGGTAGCGCTTGCGGTGCTCGGCCTGCGCGAGGACGGCCTTGGCCTCCCACACTTCTCTCTCCTCGCGCGGGAGCGCCTTCCAGTATTTACCTAATATATCGACGTGTGTCGTTTGAGAAGAACAGGAACCGACGATGTAAGGAGGGAACGCACCGATGATCTTCGAGAGCGCGCTGTGGTTGCCCTCGATCTTGCCCGGGATGTGCTGCGCATGGATGAACGACGATCTAAAGAGGATAAACGCGTTCGGCGGGCGCGGAATGTACGAGGCATCGCGCTTTTTCGCGTGCGAGACCCGAATGGGGCCGAGCGCAGGGGATGTATGCGGCGAGTACGCGGACAGGTCAGCGGGGATGTCGCCCGGAGGCAGCTCGAAGCTGAGTGGGTCGGTGCTGAACGTGATGGGCGTCATGTCCGTCGCGAATGTGAATGTCATGGACGGAGCTGGGGCATCCACGAGCGGGGGCATGCCGTCTGCACGCCATGGTGGTGGTGGGTGGTTGGTACGACGCGTGCATGGCCAAAAGAGGTAAGCGAGACTTACCATCATCGTCGGCCCCGTTGAAGGGCACGTCTGTAGCATACGCTGCGGCCATTTCTTGGTCGCGTCGAGAGCGGTGAGGGACTAGTTCAGTGTTGGGTGTTCAGAAGTTGGAAGAGTCAGCAGAGCGTCAGACGGGACTCGAGCGCAGGTGCGAAGCCAACAGTTGTCACCCGGACCTTGCGCGCTCAAGATATCATCTCCCTTATGCTCTTCTAGGCAAGTATCTCAAGAAGATAAACTTCGAGCCGGCAGCAGTGTTTCTCAGCCTTCTTCCGTCGACGTGCACTCTCTGTATAGCCTCGCGGAATTTGAGATTGGGCATCGCTCCCCGCGAGCCCGCTAAGCGAGTCACTTCACCTCGATCCGCCAGACAAACTTTCTATGGAGCGCATAGAAGCATATCCTCGAACCGGCGCGCCATCTTGCTAGCTCGCAATGTGGTGAGTTCCATGTGTTCCCTGGTCTCATAAAATCCGGACAGACGGCGAGTGCGCGAGCGTCAGCCTCACTTGACGCACGGATGGCCTCATGATTACTTGGCCGCTGCGCCGGAGCCCGGCCTATGCGACGTTGCAACGGATTTTGCGCGCACGAGGAACACAGCATGGCAGGGGAGCATACGCCATCCCTGCCGTTCATTTCCGCTCGTCGCTGCGGCCGATATGCCCTTGCGTAGTCTTCTGACCCATGATGGCCCCAGGGCGCACTCCGACAAGACAGGTTAGTATATCAAATCCGGCAACAGATTCGCCCTTCAATTGGGTCTCTGCCATCGAGGCAGCACAGCACTCGATAGTCTATCTCACTGCCCTGCTGCTTAGAGGTGAGTCCCCGGCCACTGCGAGCATACCGGTGCATGTCTGTGCCGTCTCCAATGCAAATTTAAGTATACAACGAAGTAAGAGATCTTGAAGGCAAATCTATCGATGTCTTCAGTCCTTTATTTCCCCGCATTTTTGCTTCCGTCCATCGATCGGTGCATTGACAACGAAGCGCCGCGGGGGTATACGGGGTCCTGCAGTGCCACCTACGATGTCGCCTATGCTGGTTTGCCTCGATGCCCGCTCGTAGCCTTATGCACCCGCAAGGTCGCTCTGCCCACGCGCACAGCGGAAGGGGCTACCCAATGGCTTTTCTGTCTCACCGCACCGCATACTACAGCGATCCTTCGGCCCGTACTCCTGGCGAGGGTAGGCGGCACTCCCAATCCGGATCTCAGCCTGGTGTCCCCGCGCTGCACACGTGTCGCTCTCCTGAAAGGCACGATGCCGCGCAATGACAACACTGGGAGCTCGTCCGGGTCATGTTCCCTCTATGTCATGTCGCATGCCTTTCATCCGACGATCCGTGTCTACGCGGTGAACCACTGCGTCTTATTTTATTTTCTCGCTATCACCATGGCCTCACGCCAAACGTCGGTCCGGTCTCTGACATTTCCCTTGCAACGGGTCACTGTACCGCCCCTCCGTCCTCCGCCGCCCGCTCATCAAGCCCAAGCAATCCTGATACCCGTCCAGGGATGGCAGCAGGTGGTGAGCGCTCCAGCAAAGCGCACGACATATGCCGTTATGCGTAACATAGACTGATAGCTGGCCGTCTCCGGTGAATTATGAAGGTACTATCACCTCCGCTCAGGGTACTCCTATCACAGCGTTACCTCCGCTCTCGACACGGCGGGCGTCCATCCCGCCCTCTCGGACTCAAAGCTGATCGGACTTGCCGCTGACGCCATCGCGCGCTTCCTTCCCTGTCCGTATTGCATCAAGCTATCAAAGACGTCCCTCAGCTGCAGCAGCGTCTCGCCGGCGCCTCGCCTTCACAGCGAGATCCGCAACCTATCTCGCTGACCTGCACTTTATCAATCTCATGTGGTTTGCTAGTTGGTTGTCCCTCAGCATTGCTGCCAGCGCCATTTCCCTCGATGGTGACTCACGCGACAAGACGCCCGCTCGCGTCTACGTCGTCAAATTCGGCGACTCAGAGGACAACGCCCGCGAAAGCGTCATTGACACTGTGCGAACCTCCGCCCGCACAAACGCCCTCTTTTCGACTTTGGAATTCGGGCGCCCGGTCCGACAAGCTCTGCGTGTCAGGTGTCCGCGCGTCACGGGGCGGCATGCCGTACTCTTGTCCCGAATTTCGCCTCGTCGTGCGGCATAGTGGCCTCTGCAATCTGCACGGGGCACCTGCACGCCCAACGCGGCGCGGCGGGTGCTGTTCGGTTGAGCACTGCATCTCGCAACGTGCTGGTGACCGCGCTGTCTTGCACGGACTTTGACGCAATAAAACGTGCAGGTGATATCCTTGCGCAACGGTATGTCAATCAAGCACGATCATCAGTCCCGTCTACCAGCGCGTCGGCTGCTGCTATTCCTTTTCTTCACAGCGTCTCACTGCACTCCTTCCATTTTGACTCTTCCGTGCAACGCCACCGTCAGTTGGTACCCACCGCGCGTAGCGCTGAAAATATGCAGCTCGGGACATCATCCTCGCATTCATATTGATACACATACAATGTGGCCAGTCCCATGACCAGCGCCGTGCGCCCGGTATGCGCGTGCCCCTCTCACTCCTGTGGGAGTATAGCCGACAATACGATCCTGATCTCGGAGTCTAGAACCGGCATCTCACTCGAAGTTAGTTCTAGGGGCGTCGGCGTCCCAGACAAGTCCGAGGGTCACCGGGCGTTTTCCTGCCAACTGCGCTAACTAACCCGAGTCAGCACGGACCCACGATACCCGGCTCAACTGAGGATTTCAAGGTCGGAGCTCAAGATCGACGCCGACGATGCGTTGCTATGCCCATGCGGCGCGCCAGCGAGCGCCGTCCCGCCCTGACTGTCAAACTGCACGACGGAAAGAAAGACCCTGCATATGTCACCGCAAGTACCGACAAAAGCCCGATGGAAGCTTGATAGGAAGAGTGAGTGTGTAAGCACGAAGATGTACGGGCGCCCCGCCACCGCTCTCATGGCGGGCCTACGAACAACACGAAGCCGCTCCCGTCCGGCGCAGACTCGAGCCCCCGAAAGAGGACCCTATCGCCCAGGTAATCAATCCGGCGCAGCCCGTCGTCGTCGCCGGGGATGCGCCCGCTCCACATGCGGCGCACACGGTCCCAGTACGCGTTGTACATCTGGTTCCGGCGCTCCTCGGGGAGCGCAGCGACCTCCTCCGCCCTCATGAACTCCTCGAAGTTCGCGACGCACGCGTTCAGGACGTCCATGACGAGCACGGGGAGGCGCTCGTGGTGCGGCCGCACGGCGAACGGCCACGGAAAGCGCGTGAAGTTGTCGTCCGCGAGCGCGCTGATGTGCAGGAGCGACACGGGCGGGTGCGTCGCGGGCTGCGCGCCGTTCGCGCCGTCCGGCAGGAACGGGATGCGCCACGGCTCGTCGTCTCCGTCGAGCGCGGGGAGCTCGCCCAGCCACACGATGCACGGGTGCATGCGGAGGTCGAACAGCAGGGGCGGTCGCCCGAAGAGCCGGTGTCTGAGAAACGGGTTCAGCTGGATCTCCGAAGGCGGCAGCGGGCACGGGCCCAGTGGTGGCGTAGGCCACAGGTTGGGGCGCGGAGGCAACGACGAGTGTTCGAGGCGCGCAACCCAGTTCTCCGGACGCGGGCTGCCGCGGGGGTCATGCAGGCTGTGAAACATATCCTGGACCTCCGATGGGCTGAGATCTCGAGGCACGGACGGGGGCGCTGGATCAGTGAAATTCAGCGCCGACGGATCAGTAGATGTTGTATGTAGCCATACGTACTGGCGTTGTGCACAAACACGCCATCAACAATTGGGCGCGCCCAGTAACCGTACGCTCGCCACTCTGCCGGTGTGACAATGTGCCTGTCCGAGTGCTCGTTATGCAATGATGACGATGACGGCGGGTCTTCCGCATCTCGTGGGGCGGCTCCCGGCTTCTTGTTCTTGCCTAGAACGTCCGAAGCACGCAGCAGGTCACTATGGCTGCCCAGGCCGCGGACATGAACTATGATGTATGCACGACAGACGTACCGAACCACCGTTTGCGCAGAGTGGTGAGCCACGATCGGCTCGATCTTGCGCTGGAATGATCATGGCTTGCATGCTGTCTTCCCTTCTCTTCGCGCGCCCTACGCGAATGCTGTCGTTGTGAATGCTCTGGATTTGGCGCAGCCGCCTGTGCTGGCGATGATTGCTCGGATGGGAGAGACGACGGCTCTAATATTGGCGAGGGGACCCACGGGCGGCTGCTATCCACAACGTGCCCAAAGTTGACTGCGTTCTCCGGCCAAGTGGCGTATTCCGGATGCAGCATGTCTGCAAAACTGATGTGTCTGTGTGCTTAGCGAGGCTGTAGCGAGCGATGCGATGTCGATGTGGTTGTAGAGCAAGTCATAGCGCCCCGCTCATGGTACAGAGAGAGAGCCTTGAGGCTGATGCACGCTGTATGTGGGTCCTGGGGTTTATCGGGCAACATCGGTAGGATGTCCTTGCACGCTTTAGATGTTCACGCCCTCGAAATAAGACATGCCTCCCGTGAGAAGCATCTGACATGCCGTATGCGGTAATTGATTGCGTCTTGTTGATGCCTGTGGGCATGTCGCCGCCATTGCATTGGTCTTCTCCCGTTACACTCGTCAGCAGAGTTCTCGGGGCACCTCGAACAACGAGTCAAGACAATGTCGTGCCGTGCAGCGTCCGCCGTCGAGAGCGTCCGCTGGGCCGCTGCTGCATGCACCCACGTGACGAGGACGATCGAGAGAATCCAAGATGCGTTGATTCATGATTAGGTGAAGAGCGTTGACGCTGGCGGCTGCAAGCCATCCCCGTGACAAAGGCTTGGAATTTTGGTAATTGAGAGCATTGCACATATTGAATTAAAAGGACAGCTTCCTGTCTGTCTAGCATAAGTGATGATATAATACTGCAGAAATGGAGGATGACATGGGTGTGTTTCGACTCCCGACGCTGGTACCAGGTCCAGTACGACAGTCGTACGCCGCGTCACCCGGAACTGGTGGGCAAATCAGCGCATCAATGAAATGCGTAGCGATAGAAGACGTCACACACCCTGCCTTTGGAAGCGATAATTATAGAGCACATTCATCCTCAGCCTTTGCGATCCTCTGCTCCAGCAGCTCCTCTTTCGTCCCTTTTCTCGCCCTCAGCCACTGCTTCAGCACGCACTCACCCTTCCCGCCGCCGCCTCCCTTGCAGCCCTTACAGCGCCGGCCGTGTCCGACCATCAAGACATGCAGCCCGTACTTCAGTTCGTCTGGAACAGTGAGATCAAGATGTGCCTGGGCGGTCACCCTGTCCGCTCTGCTCGGCACCCATCCCAGCAGCTTGGACAGGCGGAAGACGTGCGTGTCCACGGGGAAGGATGCCCGCCCGAGACAGAAGAGCAGGACACACGACGCCGTCTTCGGGCCCACGCCGCCGTACGACACCAGCTCCTTCATGGCTTCCTCGTCGGAGAAGGCCTTCGCTATTATCAGTTTGCCCTTGCCCGCAGCTTCATCAGTGATGGGTCCGGCGAGGTGTTGAAGCGAGTACGACCCGTGGCGCGCATGCACCTCCTGCAGGATATTCTGGATGACGCCCGCCTTCTTGTTGGCCAGTCCGCCCATCCTGATGGCGTCCACGACTTCTTGTTTCGGCGCTTGCGCCATCGCCGCGAAGTTGTTGCGGCCAAACTTGTCGTCGAGGCTGCGCTTCGCCGCCGTGGAGTTGCGTCCTGTGGTGTTCTGGCTGAGTATGGTCCCGATGAGCGACTCGAGCACGTTCGGCACGCTGCCGCACGTGCGCGCAGAGTTGTTTGACTCTGAAGGTGTCTTCTGCTCTGGTGCTATGTCCGGGTGAGTGGACACAAGCAATGCATGCACTTCGGCAGCTTCGTCAGGGGTGGGATGGGGAAAGTCAGGAAAAGGCGAGGCCACCGCGTGAGAAGCAAGGAGCTTCAATTTCTTGTGTTTGTGGGGCGAGGAGGGCCCTGGAGGCACGCTAGGGGAGCGAGATCGTTTCAGCTTCGGAGGCATTGGGCAGGGGCTAGCGTCGATGGACGGCTCGAGCAGAGTTGCTTCCGCGACGGGCGCCTCCTGGCTGTTCAACTTTACCCAGTCTAAAAATGGGAATGTGTGATGTCGATCACCGGCGATCAGCCACGCGATTCATCGCCGATCGCCTCGCCGCCGGGCATTCACGCTCAACTTTGGATTTGAATGCCGCGACGCTGAGCGCAAGCTTCTCTTCAGCACGCGAAACGCAGCACTTGCACGCGTCGCTCAAACTGCTACCCGCAGCATTCGTTCTGTCTGCACAACATAGAGCCCCACAAATTGCCTCAAACGGCGGGCCCGCCGCTCCACGCCATTTTCTGTGTCATAACGATAACAATCGCGGGTGAAACCGCCTATGCGCGTGCACGCCCGAGCCTGATTTCCGGGATTGTCCTGATGCACGTTCGCAGCGCCTTCAGGCATAGGCTAATCAGCCCCCATCAATAAAGGCACGCCGCGGGGAGACGTCTCCTACGGTTGGCGGGTGGGCGCAGGTCTAACTTCGTGCCTCAGCCACTGATCGGGTCTTGCCGGGGTCCTCAGAGTGACTAAGTTGTAACGTCTAGTGATGGTAATGGTCTATATATTTTCCCATTATCGATACTGTGTGTGATATCCGTGCTTATATCATGCTTACACAAGATACCTTTGGCAAGCAAATCATCCATGAGAATACCAAAATGGAGTATGTACCTAAGACCGTTATCATGATAAGATGGCTGAGCATATGGTATCAAGAAATAATTGGGTTGCGTTTACTTGGCGTATCGTACGCAACTTAATGTGCCAGCCTGTATATGTGCAACTTTACTAATATTCTCAAGCACATCATGATGCACAATTACTATGGTATTTGACCGGCTATATCTACTCAAATTGTACTTTAGAAGGAGAACGTACAAGGCTAGAGGGAGATATATATGGAGTTGAAAGATGTGTATATTTACAGACTCGAAGCAGGACCTTACGTAATCGGACATTGGCATAGTACACTTTGCGCTGTCGCACCTCAAGCCTTCAGATCTCAGTGCTTGCATAGTATTCCTGAGAAGCGAGTAACTCATTTATTTGTATCATATGGCGCGAATACTGCTCATACCTTGAGAATATAGCATAGGTCTCCAAGCATCTATCACTCAGTTATGGTTACATAAGCGCCCCATCTCCCATGCCGCCGATGCCGTCGAGCAGAATTCAGCCCTTGTTTAGATTACGTAATGGTCTGTCTGAGGCTCTGTCACGCTGAGATCTAGCACGGGGTACCACACGAGGCAGGACCCCATATTTAGTTACCATATCTTGACCTGCGCCCACCCGCCAACCGTAGTCTCCTGCAGCGCTGCCCGACAGCTTTTGCGCACGCGACCGTCTACGGAGAACGGTCTGACCCACTGATCCGTCGATAGCAGGGCCTGCCCCAGCGAGCTGATTGTCGGATGGATATGTGGACGTGTCTCCGCAGGGCGTAACGCCATTTGCGCCTGCGCGCCCACAGCCTCGTGGGGGAGCGCCGAGCGGACTTCTGACGGGGCTCGCTTCGGCTTCTGCAGACGTAAGGAAAGGCAATCGGCGTCCCCGGACTGCCATTGCGTCATGGCATCACCGCACCAGGGGACCAGCATTGGGCTACGCGCTGCCAATCGTGATCACTGATCACACGTCCGCACATGTGGGCGGATGGTATCGGCCATTATCTGCACGTAATGGCGGTGACATTACGTCCTTGCGCGCCACGTGGCTGCCAGAGCTCCGACTCGACAATGGTGTATTTTTGCTCGCAGTGAAGAACTGGCGCAATGCCGTGACGAACGGCCAGGACGGTAGCCATGGCTGGCGCCGACTGTGCCGGGGGGCAAGCGTCGGTAGACGAGAGAGAAATCTTCTGCTGCGCAGCTAAGGCGGCGACATGGGATCCGTGAGCGTGCAGTCCGGGTATGCCTCAATAGCCATCGCGGACCGTGTGTCCTCGGCGTCCACAGTCGACGGGAGTCACATTATCTCTGCTAACTTACACATGACGGGAGCCAAGAACCACTGTGGATGATTTCCAAGGACCACACAGAATGGAAATCATATGATAGCGACCTACCTCAGAATATTCTTCCGACGTCGGCGAGTCGCCACGAGCACAAAACGAAATGCACCGCACAGCTTTCGCCAGATGGAAGGCCACGGGAGCTTCCTCAGTGCGGTGAAATGAACGCGTATCTAGCGTGATCCTGCAGAAAAGCAGCGCACGCGCAGGTACGCCACGATAATCGATGCTGCTCGCTGAGGGAAACCCCAGGGCACAGGTGCAAGCGGAGGCAGATAGCACGCCGCCCGCCCATCTGATCACTGCATCACTCTCCGCGAGCGTGCCCTTGGGGCTGACTAGCAGCCGGCGGACCTGCGTCCGAGCGTGCGGTCCGTCCCGTCCAGGAGACAGCCTGAGCCTGTTGCCATGCGAACCGCTCGAATTGTGCGGGCGGGACGCATGGCGGGCTCGCGACGCAGCACACAATAGCGTCGCCGCGCATCCGCCGATGGCCAGGGTGCAACGCGGCGTGCTGCGATGCACAAGGCGGGATTATGCAGCGAAAATTTTGGATATTCGCGTGCGAGATGGATTAGCACCGAGCCGACGAACCAGCGTGGCGGGCTGGCCGTCCGACGCGAAAGCTCAAGGTTCGGAGCAGCAGTGTCCCGCCAGATAGACGTGATAGAGATAGAGATGCTGCTAGGCTGAACGCGGCGCGCGGGATCCGATATCGAGGTGAGGCAGCCGAGTCTCCGGACGCGTAGTTCCAAGTTTCCTTATTTGGCGACAAAGCGCAGGGCCGGTGGCTGCAGCGACATTGCCTCGCGCGTGGCCTCGCGCAGCGCGGCTGGTCGGATGCGCGGCTGGGGAGGCGAAATCTGCCCATGACATCCGTTCTGGATAGGAAAATAGCTAGTCGCCGCTATGCATGCGACCGCCCTGGGACGGACCGGGATAGTTCGGTATCAGCATTCATTTCCGCCCATGGACCGTATGGGCCGACGTCGGGGCGTGGGTGTCATGGGACTGGATGCGGGACGGCTGGGAAACGCGCACTGTTTGGGCGCTGCCGGCACCGACGCGCGCCGCGGGCGTGGCGACACCGTCCACGGATGCGGCAGAGACAGGAACGGTGGTGGCGACGGTGCCGCAGGCCCTTCACAGGTTGCTGTGACGGGAGGTGATCCCAATACGATCGGATCCACAGACTCATACGGGGGCAGACTAGTGCGCTCCGAGATACACGCTGGGAGTTGCCATTCCGCGCGGCTGACAGGGCGCGAACCTAGCTGCGGCTGGGACGCTCCTGCCGGATGCAGCTGCGCTTTGGCGTGGCGGGGTCGATCCTCAGATTATCCGATACGCTCAGCTATGTGTCATGCTGGCGTTCGCAAGACGTAGACGGACAAGACACCGTATGACCGGCACACTGTGACGACACGAGGTGCACGGCACGGTCGAATTCCATGTTCGGGAATGCAGACAAGACACATGTACGTGATGCACAGCGAGCGCGACATGAGGGGGCGTGGCGCGGAAAATACGGGCAATAGAGGGGCCAGGGAGGGATGTGCGACGCGGCTGGTGCCTAGGGCCGCTCGCCGAGGTGGGGGAGGGAGGGCCAGCACGAGACTCTATCGGTATATTCTATGGTGTGAGATAACGGCATAGGCGAAGGAGGAGGACAATAAGGGGTGACCGATATGTGCGGGCGCTCGGGGGAGGAAGCGCGGAAGGCGAGCGAGACAATAAGAATTGTCGCCGGAGCAGATGGGTTGATCAAAACGAAGAGCGGCGAGAGAATTTGCGCGTGTTTGGCGGTAGAATGGAGAGGGGGGCCCTGTTTAGGATTAGATCTCCCACTGCGACCGAATATGGCAGCACAATGAAGTGATCTCAGCGGGATCTGACCGAGGGGAGGGCCCCTGCAGCATTCGGCGGACGGTCATATCACCATCCTCTATAAAGACGCACGCTCGTATTGTCATGCCTCCGTCGCCTCTCGTCCAATTGTTCTCCCTCGGGGCCTCAGAGCCACCCTCCATCACCCTCCTGCCGCAATCGGGAGCGCCTTTTGTCTCGCCTCGAGGGCAACCCCGCCTCGCGTTCGCAAATAATACACGCTCATCCTCCATTCACGAGAACAATCATGCCTGCATACCGCACTCGCGAAACCTCCTTCCGCAGTAAGTCCCATTCATCTCGCCACCACAATACTCTCCGCGCACAGCTCACCGCGCCATGCCCGCCCACAGCCCTCGAAGTCGCGACGGACGCGCCCCTCCCCCCGACAGTCGCCATCATTTCCCCCACGCCGCGCGCATTCACCTTCCCTATCAACGCCATCCCCGACGCTCGCTTCGTCTCCCCATCCAGTTCGCCCTTCGAGCCCGACCTCAAGTTCGCATGCACCCCGCCACCCGCACGCGCCCTCTCCCCTACCTCCTCCATCGGCTCCACTGACGCCTCATCGATCTTCTCCACTCCTTCCGCGCGCTCCTCGCAGGCCTCGCACAAGCGGCGTAGATCGACCGCTAGCGATATCGGGGAACGCCGCCCCAAGAAGGGCGACGACGACTACATCAAGCGTCCCGAGAACGCGTTCATCCTCTTCCGCCGCAAGTGCTGCGAGGACCGCCAGGCGCAGGACGAGACCGACGACGGGTCGGCAGGCCCCGTCAAGAAGCAGCGCCAGGCGGACCTCTCCAAGACCATCAGCCAGCAATGGAAGAGCCTCGCCGCAGAGGAACGGCACTATTGGGAGGAGCTTGCGAAAGAGAAGAAGAAAGAGCATGAGGCGATGTACCCCAACTACGTCTACCGCCCGCAGCGCCTGAAGGACAAGTCGAAGGCGAGGAAGGGCAAGGGGAGAAAGGAGGGCGAGCAAGAGACCGACGCTGAGAGTGGCATCTCGTTCGTGATTCCCGTTCCCTCTCCTCCGCGCAGCCTCAGCCGCGACAGCTTGCCTCTCGACGCCTCCGCGCGCGGTCGCCGTGCGGTGTCAGCACCGACGCCGCCACCGCAGTATCAGACGATCCAGCTCCCGTCTGTGTACATGCCCTCATGTCCGACATCACCGTCGCTCAATCCTTCGCTCATGCCAAGGATTAGCAGGCGGTCTCCACACATTCCCCCACCAGGCAACGATTCCCTGACGCATTTTGAGTACTTACCGAACGACTCCCTCTTCCCGCCCTACCAGCATCAGCACTCCGCATTCGAACACAGCCCACAGGTGCGCGCCATTCAGCTATTTGTGTTTGATATTGACTGATGTTGTCCGATCGTCAGGCCGATCAGCTGTTTCAGATGTTCCAACTTGAACAATCCACTCTGTCAGGACAGAGCGGCGCTCCTCTTCTGCATCCACTGAGCATCCCTAGAGATTCGTCATCCATGCCTTCAAGCCTTGTGTCGCCGGCCGAGTCCATCGCATCGAACCACTTCCTCTCGCCCGTATCGCCCGCGTCGACCCAGGGCGGGCCATACACGCCCGCAGAGTCGCTCTCCATGATGTCGCTCTCCCTCGCCAACAACACGTCATGTGGCCAGCCCATGGATGCCATGTCTGACCACTCGAGCGGCCCGCTCGCGTTCTCGATGTGGCCGCAGGAGAGTCTCTGGCCGGACGACGCGATGATCCCGGACGACTTCGACCTGAACTCGATCCCGCCAATCGAGCTGGGGATCTCGCAGTTCGACGGCGAGATGCACCAGCTCGCGGCGCTCCCCGAGCTTTCTGAAGGCATGGACATCCCCGGCTTCGAGTTCGACGACGCGTTTGCGCTGGGTCAGGGCCAGGGCCAAGAGCACGACCTGCACGACGCCGACCCCGGACACGACCCATTCGACATGTTCGGCGGCTACGACCACACCACCGGCGGCAACATAGCCTGGTGATGACGCTGTCAACGTGCGCGGGCGTGCGTTGACGACCCTGTGGACACTGTATCAAAACCCCCGGCTCCTGAGTTCTATCTATCATCTATCCTTGGAATTCCGCTGTTGTACGCACCTTCCGTCGCTGATGAACGCTTATCCGTGTATTCCTGCTGTACTGATATTCGCGCTGGTGTCCGATGTTGACGTCGGCGCCGTGTACTCATCACCCCACCCTACCATCCGAGCATTTGTGTTACTTACTGACAACCCTCATTGGCACACATCCCACCATCCTGCATCTCCATCCGCGCGTCAGATACCCCCCTCCCTCTTCTATCCTCTCACTTATGACATTATTTGACGTAACGACTTCAGCTGGTGTCCTGGTGCCCAGTCCAACACGAATACAAGGATTTTATAGAGTTTGTGAGGCATGTCTAGGCATCAGTGAGAGTATGTTTGTCGCACAGAGAGACATTGTCGCGGTGCGAGAGGTAAGCACGCTGAGGGCGAGTTGACGACGGTCGCGCAAGAGCCTCGAGGTTTCCACTCAGTTGATTTCAGACACTCTCGTGTCATGTTTTCACGTGACTGGGACGAGCAGACAGACACCCATTTGCGAGTTTCCTGTGCCAGTGTCACTGTCCTCATTGGACCGAAATTCAACATTCAACGCTGAAACATGCCAGGTAGCGATGTTCAGTCTGCTGTAAAGTCTGATGCAAAATAGCGCTTGTCGGAAGTGATGAACTGGTCGGAGCAAGTCATGGCATGGATTCTCATTGACCTTAAAATATCTTGCTCCTGTCTGTCAGACGCGTATGGTTTGACCGAGCTTGTGACGCAATGATTAAGGAACACCCCTATGTCTTTCAGCGACCCGACAAGAGACGGCTCGGCGACTTAGTGCCAGGAGGCCGAATCCTCGCGGAACCAACTCCCGCCTTGTATCCCGTATGTGACACCGGGGTTGTGCCGCGGCATATCGTCGTCAGGAGCCAATCCCACCGGCCCCGACGCTCGGCCCCGGCAATGCCCCGCGCTTTGGCCTGTGTGCTAGGCCCGATTGCACATAATTGCCAGTCGGGGCCGTCGACCGTCGCCATGACGAGGGACAGGGGCGAGCCCATTGTTTCGACGTCGGTAGCGTCGACCTTGACATCGGTGCGGAGCCTTCGTGGCCGCGAGGCTGCAGCATGGACCTCGTATGCGCATTGCTTCGTGTGCCGGTGGGACTCTGCAGCGTCAGCACAATAAGCGTGGATATGAGATCCGTGGGCCTGGAGCTATGGCGGTTCCTGACCAAGCGCATCCCAACGGTCCCATGAGATGCTAGGCACCACAAGACGAGTGGTAAGAGGCTCAGGTTCAGCGATCTCATCTTTACGAGAACGTGCATCACGAATCTCCGCGATCTTGGATTGACCTTTCATGAGAGAGCCATTGGTCAAATTAGTCCGGACGCATATTGGCTCCTCTGGGACGCACTTTTCGTTCGCGGCTTGGAGGAATACTCCGATCGAGGGCCGGTCGTGTAAGAAGTTGGTAAACTTAGCTGCTGGGATGATGATGTGTGCGTGCGAATGCATGTCATGCTGCGTAATCTGGTATTATCGAGACGGCACTTCACGTCGGTCAGATATGCTGGTAAGCGAGGTTTAGTTACATATAGCAGGGCAGCCAATGCGCGCACTCACATGGATATCAATTACACCATGGGTCGTGATGCAATTTATCCTGTCTAATGTCTCGAGCGGTCAGGTATCTCAACTAACCATAAAGACCCTGCGGGCAAATCTATGTTGAAACATGCGAGCACGTTGAGCAAACCTTGCATCATCATGGGTCATGGATAGACAAAGGTACCGGCACCCTTCACAACTAGCTAAAACACGAAGAATTGACATCAATACATAGAACGATACGAATATGTTCCATCAGGATACGATACAGTGTCACGGAGTATCATATAGACAAATTGTACTCATATTCACTCCCAACACTCTGAGAGATCCAGAGGACGATAGTAGAAAGCATGAGTGCGACATTCTGCGAGACGTTCGCATAGCCATAGTAGGTGTATTGCTCCGCGTACTCCTCGAGCACATATTTGAGGACCAGGACCGTCTGGTGAACGTGTTTTTGAACAGACAGTATAAGATTCACATACTTGACCAGTACGTACCACGCTACCCGCAAGTCCGCCTGCCATGAGCGCGAAGCCGATAAAGAGGATCAGCCGTGCGCGCCAGACTGCCCCACTGTCACCAAAGCCCTCCTCTCCGCGAACCCGGTCCTTGTCAATCAAGTTGATGATAAGCATTCCAAGCAGCGAGCAGATCCCGGGCACCCAGTCGGTGAAACCGACGTGGACGGGTGCGGGGAGCTGCGGTTCATCGTACGGCGGGTGTGCGTGTGCGGAGAGGATAGCAGCGTCAAGGAAGGTCCAATTCGCCAATGCGAACTAAGATAGTTGCAAAGCAGTCGTAGTGACACCGAACCCGATGTTAATACTGCGTTGTAGCATGAACAGTTGCAGTATTTACCAGACCACCGGCTAGGTATATCCCAATCGTCCGCCTGTGCTTGCCGATATTCAGGACGGGGAAAGGATTCAAGCAAACCCGTCTAGGGTCATAGTTGGAACGGGGAAGAGACATCCTGACAAAGTAAAGGTCGCCGTCGTCGTCGTCGGTGGTGATGAAGGGGGACGAAACGTGAGAGCGCTGCGCACTCCACAATGCGCGCTTGGTGCTGCTGTACTGTTACTCTATTCAGTGAACCGAGGGTACTGTCCCGGCTCTCGAATTATGGGTGATTTCCTTGATAAAGTGACTTTTGCTTCTCGGTTAGCTCGCAGCTATTGCCAACAGGCAACTGGTGGCGACAATGACGGCGCGTCGGCTCGCAGGGGTCGCCTCTTGGAAGCGACAGTGATGACGATGCTGCTATAGTTCAGCCTCTGCAAACAGGATGGTGCTCGCTCAGACGTATTCACTCTACTCCGCGTAGCTTGTCTTTCGGCATTTGTACAGGTCGATGTTGCTCGGGATGCATATGAAAGAATTCGCAGTAAGACAATATAACACGGCTCGTATGCTACCCAATTGCGTGCAACGTACGACTAACTAACAGGGTTCCGTCCTGCTGTCGTAGGAGATGGCCCCCTTGCTACTTACTTGAGAGGCCATTGAGCCTTATACTCCTTAGTCTTCTCCCAAAACTCGAAACCACCCGTCATGAGGAGACCATCCCACAAATCCGACGTCTCCAGGGAGAAGGGGAGGAGGTTGACACGGTACAACTTGTTGCAAACGAGTTGTTGATTCAGCCAACGCCACGCATCTTGGGAGCAAGAAGAACCTGTTGCATCGTCGACGCACTGGATTACCAGTCGGCGCAAGTGGCGAGCAGCGTACAGGATTTCGTGGAGCCACTTGATGATCGGGCACGCCCCTCGAACCATGTTCCCCACGACAATGCGAATACATAGGTGCGTCAATCGGGGGATGCTCTCGAAGAAGGTGATTACTGCATGGGATACGACTTCATCAGAGACGGAGCATGGCTTTGTGGGGTCAGCAGGCGGGAGGCACTCCACGACCTGGTTCCATGGCATGTCGACGAGTAGGTGGGTCGTACACCACAAGAACCGGAAGTTGGCTCCATGAAGATGAGGCACTTTCAGCGGGTTGGTACTCTGGAGGAACAAGACGTGTTTAGGCTCAATGTGGGCATCAAGGAGCCAGTTGTTGGACAAAAGGGTGATGTCAATTGCCACAGTGCGTATTTCTGCCTCATTAACCAATCGATGTACGATTTCCCTCTGTTCGTGTTTCTTGAAGTCGTGTTCATCCTCGATCTGCTTGCCCGCGTCCGAGTAGGCGGGATTGAAGCGGATCCAGACGTTTTCCACATATATGTCCAACTCTGAGTATTCATCTTTCAGGGCGTCCTTCAGCGTGTCTAGCTGCTCCAACGTTTCCAATTTGATCGATGTTAGCTTCAAGCGGGGCATTGCGAGAGTCGTGAATGTCAAGATGCAGAAGTCGAAAGCCCCACACGATTAGTGAGCGGAGGTGGATCAGGAAGGGAGAAGCATCTTATGTTTCGCGTTCGTTTTATACGCAGGAGCGTGGCTGGTCACTGGTGTCACTTCTTGATGTCCATTGTCATTGTCCGCACAATCTAACCGACACCACTTGTCACGGAGCCTCTTGGCCCCTTGACGCGACTGTTTGACCACTAACATGTGGTATCCATTCGATTATTCCAGTTGTGGTGAAGTAGTACATGCTGCAGCTGCGGATGTACTTCAACCCCTCTGGTTACAGAAGCCGTTTTGTGTGGACAAGAAGTTCCTAAGAGTCCCTTCCCTGGATAATGCATCATTGTCTCATGGCGTCCTGACACTCTAGGCATCTCGCATGGTACATGTCTGTAACGATTCACTCAAAACCATAACCAGCACCATGACTACGAACAACGGAGTATAGCATGCACTGCTGTCATGTTGCGATCAAACGGCTTTCAGCTAGCGTCCATGTCACTGTCGCTAGTTGTTTCCAACTCCCTCCGAAATGACACAAACCCTTCAAGGACTCCCGCACGAGTGGCCACATTTTTCCCGGGTGAGTTCTCATATATAGCTGCAAGCTCTGAGGGGTGATAGTCGCCGTCATCTGCAGCTACTTGTTCTATTCCTTCCACTGATGTTTACATCAAGTTCCTGTTGGGACACGAGAACGTTGTCTGGGTTCTGGATGAACTCCTTGCAAAGCTCCTGTCTACTGCATTGTCAACTTCGTAAGTCTACCCCACAGAGATCATGGAATACGTCGTTGTAATGACGGTGATGCTCTTTGAAGCAATGAAAACGCTACCAGTAGCAGCGCACTCGTGCTACATCACTCAGGTCGCAATCCAGCCATATTCAACACTGCGCGTAGCTGGCCTCCGGGCCTACACACACAAGTAAATGCCTCTGAGGGAGCATGGAGATGAAGTCGTAAGGGAAATAAGGAACATGGTTTGTATAGATCCTTTGGAGCTTCATAGAATATATCCATAACGATCCAGCAGATAAAATGGATCATGTTGTTGCACCAATGATTCTCGTCGTGCTGCCACAGCGGATGATATTATGAAATCCCCATCGAGCGGCCACTGTGCCACATACTTCCTGGCTTTCTCCCACAACGCAAATTCACCTGTCTCGCCGAGTGTATGCCACTCGTCGGATAGCTTCATGGCGAAGGGGATGAGGTTGACTTGGCGGAGTTTATTGGAAACGATATATTGGTTGAGCAAACGCCATACGTGATGCCTTCTGGAGCAGGGAGAACCCGATACATCGTCGACGCACTGGAGAACCAGTTGCGACAAGTGTGGCTTCGCGCGCACGATTTCGTGCAGCCACTTCGTGACCGGGCACGCTCCTTCAGCCATGCGGCCCACGTTGATTCTGATGCACAGGTGCGTCAGGTTATAAAGGCCTTCGAAGAAGTGCATGACGGTGTGCGATGCGATCCCATCGTAGACCAGGTACCGTTTCAGAGGATTAACAGGCGGCAGGCACATAACGGCGACATGATTCCACGGCACATCGATAACCAGGCGACGAACTTTCCACAGGAACGCTAAGTGACGGGGCTCAAAATGAGGCAGTTTCAGCGGGTCGGCATTCTGGAGCAGCAGGACCTGCCTAGGAAATGTAACATTCTCTAGCCAGCCGTCTGACCAGAGGGTCGCGTCGATCGCTAGAATGCCTATTTCCGCTTTTCTGAGGAAATCATGCACCACTTGCCTCTGGTCAGCTTCGCCGAATTTGCGCTCGTCTTCGATCTCGTCTCCCGGGTATGAGAGGGCGGGGTTGTACCGGATCCAGACGTTCGTATCCTCCTGCGGCTCAGTCCCGCGTTGTTCCAGTGTTTGCTTCAAGTCGTTGATGGCCCACTTCCCTTCTACATCGACCATCGATTCCTGATGTGGAGGCATTGCGGGAACCACAGATCACAAAACTTGACGTCTGAGGGTGTTTCACGGTAGGTGATTAAGGCAAGTGGGGTGTATCAGGATTTTTCGGGGTATGTTACATCTAGCATTATTTATATAAGGCGGTGTAACGCTGGTGGCTCCTTCTCTTAGATACCACGTTGCCGTCGCCCAGGTATCTTGATCGACGCCACTTGTCGGTCGAGTGCTTTGACTCAAGCAACTATTGTTCGCACAGCCATCATAGCTGCAGGTGCGCTTTGGCCTCGAGACTACGTGTGGCGTGTGACTAAGAGACGATTTATCAGTTCATGCTAAGCTTCCAGAAACCAGCCAGACACCATCGTCCTTTCCTGTCACGCCCTATACCCTCACGAGTCCCGTGCTTTCGTCGCTATTGCCAAGGTATAGTCCTCGCTTTGCTGCCGCCGCTAAGTATTTCTATGTATATCATATATGCTGCAATCGCCGAAGGTCCTCGGTTCTGTTCGGTGTAGAACCCGTGGACGGTGTATGCGCACCAGAACTACTGTAGCGCCTTGGACCCGATCACCAAGGAGGCGTGGCCTGTGAAGGTATACGACTCAGACTAACTAACGGGCACGATCTACTGAACGGTCGCAATCAGCCCGAAGCGATGTCGAATGCCGTTGGCAGATGTCAAAGCCGCAATGCGCAAACTTTCACATAGGCCCAGCATTGACAGATAGCCGCCGTACTTTGGGCTTTGGGTCCACCGAACCCGGAACTCTGTGCAACAGACGGTCAGTGCGTTATCGATTAATCATCGCATATTGACCTGTTTGATCCTGTCCTTCTGTGTCAAAGAAATCTAGTTTGACATCTTCTTCATAATCCGTGTTGTTCATGGACACTATGGCGAGCTGCCCCGCGAGGAAAGAATACAATCATGGACTCAGAGGCTTCCCAGCGACAAGCAGATGGTCGTTGTGCAACACGACGGCGGGGGACTATCAGTAATCGCGAGGCTATGTGATATCCTCATCGCCTGTCGTGACATAACTTTGTCGCTATTTCCTAGTGAGATCAATCACACACCTAGTGCTAAGTACAGTACCGCGGATAGGTCTCGATCATGTGATCGCGATGCACAAGCTTTGTATCAGCGGTGCGTTTGCTGGGTAGATCACGTACCCATCACTCTATCTGCAATCTACGCGCCTCCTGTCAGAATATAGGACGCGGCGAGACGTACAATATGACGCCGTGCGATGTTGTAAACAGCCCCGAGTTGGCTGCGGCATTTGTTGCCTATCTACGAGATCTTACCAGAGAAGGTACTGTAGGCAGAAATTCTAGATGTCGCGGAATATCGAGGTTGACGCACTTGTCAGAGGGTAGGATACGCGAAGCGCAGTACATACGGGCCATCTCTGCCATCTCTACAGCGAAAACACTATTTGAGAAGAAAATTTACGATGGAGCGCATTCTGCTTACCTCAAAGCGATCGACTATATAATCGGCAGGGATCACACCATACCTTTGACAATCACCCAAAGCGGTGGAATCGTATCAGATGCATACACTCGACTGTCGATGAATAACAGAACCAATCTCATGACATGCTGTAACGGCATCGCAAAGTCTCTCGTAGAAGAGGACCGTGAGGAGGAGGTAAGAAGTCAAGATAACGAACTGATAGGTTTTGACTGGTGTACCAATATCTCTCAGGCATTGGAATGGTTCGAAGAGGTCGACGTACTATACAAGAACGCGCGCTTTGGCACACGCCCACCCCTTTTCGGTGGGTCTCATCAATACCTAATGACCTTCACCTTTCAATGGGCGAACCCCTTTCAGATTGGGTCGACTACTACCCGAAGCCTGCTCACATAGACTTCTTGGTACAGCGCGTTACCGCTCTCGCAGGAGCGTCAGACATCTTTTTGGGCCTTGGGAATACCGGATCTGCTACGCATCGCCGCGTTGTTGCCGATGATATAATCAACAATCTGTCTCCGGGAACAGATGCCACGCCCTTGAACGTTCTTCTTCCGGAGGACTCCGTTCGATCGCTCATGCAATATAGGCACCCGGACCCGGACATCCATGCTGACCACGAACTCACAAATGACGCCCTTCAGGTCTTGGGATCATGGCAGAAGATCAAGCTGTCTAAGCATATTGCTCCCCGCATGGGCTTTGTGAGCTTCATCTGGAGAAGTAAGTGACTTCTGCCCCGCGTTGCTTTTGGGAACCCGCTTATGGAATTATACTCTCATGGCAGGCCGTCTCTATGTGGGCGGAGGTATCAAAAGTGGCACATTCAACCTGTACAGCGATATGTGGTGCCTGGATCTAAAGAAGCTAAACGGGTGGCGAGAGCTTCCTCCGTACCCACGGGGAGGTGGTGCTTGCCTAAATCTGCAAATGGCTGTACACGAGACGACCGCATACGTCTTCAACGGCACAAGCGTCCTCACTACCTTTGATCTGATTACTGAGACTTGGGGTCAGCTGCGTACTGGCTTCGTCGATTCGTCTGGAAATCCAGGGCCGTGGCCGCTTGCCGACAAAAATCTTAGTGATTATTCAATGCAGATTGTACGTGGGCGCCTGTATGTCTTCGGTGGGAGTACGAAGAACTGCAAGATGGGCTGCAACTTCTTCGCCGTACTAAACCTAGCTACACGGCGGTGGGAACACCTCTCTGGTGCTCCCGGCCTACCCGCCGCCGACTACGACTGCCCGGGCCCGAGGAAATACCTTGGCAGTTGGGTTGATGAAAAGGACGAACGAATCTATGTGCTACAAGGCATGGCAGATCTTGCGGCGTCAAAGATGTTCAATCAGCCGCATGCAGCTGACCATTCATACGGGTATGATGATCTCTGGAGTTGGGACATCAAAGGCCGACGCTGGCGCCGGGAGCGACTGGTGGGCAACGCGCCATGTCCGAGGACCGAAATGGCCTGCACGTTTGTAAGTATGACCTTCCATCTGTCACGCTTACTCAGAAAGCTCACTCATTTGCCCACTTATGGGGAACAGAACCCCAGACTCAACGCCACTCTCGTGTACGGAGGCTATAATCCAGGCATCCCGACCCTCTTCGAATCTATGGGCATCTGTTTCAGTTTTACATACTTCGCCGACACGTACATTCTCAACCATTCATCCTCGAAGCCAGTTTGGAAACAGGTGCTCACACAAGGCTTCCCAACTTACCGTGCTCAGAGCACGCTCCTCACTGATCCCGACACCGGTCGGATGTATCTGTTCGGTGGATACACCAACACGGACCTGGTGCCTTCTCGCAGTCACGCGCGAACGAGAAGCTTTGGGGACTTGTGGCAGTTGCGCGTGGATATCCCCGGCGGTCATTTTGAAGAAGTTAACATATCGGAGGAAGAGCGCAATGCACGCGTTGGGCCTTGGCAGAAATGTTTTACATGTGGTAACGTCGGCCCTTGGAAAAAATGTGGCGGTGAGTAGTACACTTGCCAGTTACTGGGTGACTGCACAGTCGTGCTTCGCAGGTACCTGCAGAGGACGCGCGTTCTTCTGCGACGATCAGTGCTTGAAGGAAGGATGGCAAGAACACAAGCAGATACATACGTGTAAAAAACCCAGAAAGTAAGCGTGTTTGACAGTACCTGATTTCACCACCCTTTGGTATCTCGATCCTATCATGCATTGTGCGGGATATTTCATCTCGTGTTACACACCCGCTCCGCGATAAATCCGCAACACATGTTTGTCCAGCGAGTAGAACCTTTCAACTGCAAAGAAGGCGTCGGTGTGAGTGTCCTGACAGACAGCGCCAAAATTCTACTTCGAATTGGTCAGAATGCACGTCCTGACTGAACATGAGGCCGTCACTCTTACCGCGTCGATGATGGGCTGATGTCAGAAGGCTGGTCAGCAGTCGTCGGTCGGACGGCCGACGCCGCCATGCCAGGAAACGACCCTATGCAGAACGCAAGCACTTGGACATTCTCCAAAATTGGCTGGCGACAGCCGCGAACTGTGTTTCATGAGCACCATAGGCGGCCGCGCAGCAGGAAGTGAGATGGCCTTTGATCTCGGAGACAGATCTTCTGATGGATGACTATGGGCGTCTCAGCCATAGCATACAAGGGAGGCCGCTGATCTTCATTGCACAGCTCGGAACGATTACGTCGTCGATGGAGCTATGCCATCGGGCGCTTTTTCAGTAAGTCGGTCATTTTTCTGGTCTCCGCTCGGTTGTCATGTCCTTTTGCGGTCACCGGCATGGCATACAAAGGATCCTCCTTTGACGACGTTGGCACACCGTGCTATGTATTGCAAGCATATTCGGCCAAGGAGAGCAGAGCTGAGTATGGCAGTTATGTACACATACCCATCTCAAGATGTTCCTGGACTGATTTCACTCAAGTCTCCAAGAACACATACTTCAGCAGTGGAGTTTGTAACCAGGCGCAGATCTTGCGAGACTATTTACACCCCGACTTAACTCAGCAGCCTCGAAGTTTATGTCGCGCGGGAAGTTCCCGCCGGCAACGAGTAATCTAGATATCTCTTGACACAATCTACAAACGTTCAATGACTAGGCTGCTTGCGTCCGCCTGCTGCGCCGTCAGGCCGCCGATAAAGAACACCACGAACCCTGATGATGTTTGAATTAAGATTGTAGATCCATCATGGCCAACCTAGCCCCACGTTTCCTCCGATCGCCAAGCCCATTGAGCAAGGTCTTTTAAATGGTAAGGTAATCCATAACCTGGTGTCTGCATTTTAGGAAGTGGACGTCTGCCCCTCTCTGATATCACTATATAACGCCTTCCGATCTTCGAGCATTCTACATTCGTCTTGTGATACTTGCGGGTCGCTAACTCAGCTTTCTCTATGGTTCAGTCTATCTACGACCAATGTCAGCTCGACATCGCCGATTCTTGGACTCGGAGTTCGAGTGGTGGGCCTCGAACGACATCACGAAAGGACAGTGACAGCAGTGACGAGTCACCGTCAAATCCATCTTCCAAATCATCTCGGAGTCGGCCAATCAGTAGAGCGTAAGTACTGCTTCGTGTGCCAATGATACCCGCTGCCTCACATCTTGTAGCCCGGGTGCATGTACCCATTGCAAGTCATTGAAGGTGACGACATATCTCGTGTGAGACAAGTGAACATACCTGATACAGAGCAGATCCGATGTGAATTCATTCCAGAAGAAAATGTCTGTGCCCGTTGCAAAGCAGCCGGGCAGCTTTGCGTAATCCGCGGGCGCAAGAAGCGACGGCCTGCCCCGTAAGTTTATATAGCCGAACATTGTTATCGGCTGCTGACACGAAATCCAGCACGCATGAGGACCTTCGAAAGCGCTCGTACGCCCAGGACGTTCAGATACAATCGCTCTTACGTCAATTGGACGAGGTCAGGGCCTTCTCAGACATTCGCTACTGGCTCCAGAACGCACAAGCCGAGGCGGCCGCATTGAAGCAGTACCTGAACCAGGCTACTCATAGTCAGCTCGTTATGCGCGTGGGAGCTCTGACCCCTTGCTGATGTTGCTGACGTTCGGTTAGGCTCTCAAACGCTCCCATGGAAATGGAACCCTCAAAGCGCCACCACAAGCACTATGGAGCTCATGGGGAGGTCCCAAATGTCTCTCGAAGCAATGGGCATAAGTTCTGAGGCGTCAATCACGGAGATGCACATACCCGGTGAGACCTTGATGTCCCGTAACGACCCGTTATCCTTGATGAATGCTCACTTCTCGCCTGGCAGTTCCCGGTTATGGGGGCAGTGCGCGTAGCGATATCGGCATCCTCAAACACGGTCTGCTCAGCCCTAGTGATGTCCAGAGTCTCTTCGACTTGTACGGAGCTCCTTTTCGACTTGTCCTAACAGGCGTTAACACACCCACTTTAGATACTTTGAGCATTTACATGTGAGTGAGAGTGAATTTCTAGGATCGTATTTGTCCCTGAGCGTCGTGGTAGCCATGTTTCTGTCTCCTCGATCCGCGCATCCACACACCTCAATTTTTGCAATCTACGTCTCCGTTCCTTTTCACGGCAGGTTGGCATCATGTCCGTCCTTTGAAATTTTGAACCTCGCTGATGCCGCTTTGCAAAGTCTGTTATGTAGCATCTCGTCACTGGCTTCACAGGCCTAAATTACATCAACTCATCTTGCGATACGTCGAGAAGTATGCTGCAGATGTGCTCAAAGGTGAAGCCATCGACATCGAGGCTTGTCAAGCATACTGTCTCCTGGCGGCGTATCCGGGTTCGTTGAAGAGGTTCGCCGATGCGCGAAATTGGTGGCTGATAGCGACCGCCGTTCGGTGATTGTGTATTCTGCTTGCGGTACTTGTCTAGACTCAACAGCGCCTTTCCAGGATAGCGCAAGAGATTGGACTGGATCAGCCACCACCTCCAGAATGCGATATGTTGGTACAGCTCAACCGCATTCAGACTTGGTTCCGCATCCTATGCATGGACGCCTCCGCGGCCATTCAGAGCGGGGGACCACCGATGGTGCAGTACGACGATTGGCTTGCGCGTACTTCGCATGCCTGGTGCAGGTGGCAGGAGACGCATCCGCCACATGTCGTCTTTCCCAGCCCGAGCTTAGAGATCTTCACAATTGTCATAAATTTCGAGAAGACAATCACACAATACGAGGCGCAAGAGGCAAGTGGACATGTTATCCAGCCATTGTCATACATAAGTGACTCTGATGCGGCGATGCTTTGATAGGTGTCCGATGTGAACGCGCTGGCCCTTGAGTATCACGACAAGCTGGATGCAGCCTTCACACGATGGAAAAGCGAGGCTGGAGAAGGGCCTCCCCAAACTTCCTGTCAGCGGTTTGTCTTTTACCAACGAGTACACATAGCTAACTTTCCATAGTGCTCTGCGTGCGGGAGATGTCTGGGATTGCGTAAGTTTTTTTTCCTTTGTGTACCAAGATCCCTCAGACTGAGTGCCGACAGATTTATCAACGCGTTCAAGCTGATAATCCTGGGGCATAGCTTGCACTATGCGGCTAGGCGCGGGGTTACTCCAAGCCTAGACCTCGTTGTCATGGTAAATACCTCGCATTTACGGTAGGAGACAATTTCTTAAGGAGACCTTCTACAGGCGGTGCTTGCGGCTCAAAATGCCGTGCGAACACACGTCGAGCGCTCCTATCCGGCCGGTTACCTGCGGTATATATTCGAGGTGGAGATACAGCATTCCCTCTCGAAAGCTTGAGCTCAATTCTGTCGTAGCCGGAGTTCCTATACGTGACATTCTCGGCGGCGTTCATTGTACACGTAGGTTGTGTCCGTTTGCATTATTTCTCCACAACTGACCGATGACTGCGCAAATAGCTAATACGGACCCCATACAGTTCCTCCTTCGACCCTCAGTTTCGAGCTGAACTTTTGAAGGACGTCATGAGGCTGGTGCAAGTCTACGCTTCTCCAGAGGTAGCCTTGGACTCCACACATCCTCCAGCAGTATACGCCAGGTTTCTTGCCTCTTTACTGGAACATCCGTCTGTAGGTATTGACCCAGTGGGTGGATCTACCTTTGCGTTCAACACAGATGTCGCATCTGGATCGCAATGTCACTATCACCCCACTTCCGAGCAGGGTCCCATCTCGAGCGAGTCGAGTCGCAGTGACATGGGCTTCATGTTCGCGCACTTTGTATCAAACATTACGCCGCAGGATTCGCCTTCAACAAACAATTCGGCCAGCCTTGGGCTTTGTGCGCCTGACGTTTGGAGCTTTCGCCCGTTTCCTAGCGATCAACCTTCGCTGGACGCGGCGTGCTACGCAACGTCTTATCCCCGGTGACAAAAACACCGGAACATTAGCGAAGGGCAATGTATTAGCACAGTCAATGCCTTCCCGCAGGGGTCTGGACACGATCTCAGAATAGAATCGATCTGTACATGGTCTCGACAGGGCAGCTGATCTGACTATCCTCGAAAATGACTGTTGCCGGGCTGTTGGACGGACACCCAAGAGTTTGAATTGTCACGATTGCATAAGTGGTAGGGAGTTGCTCACGGTATTGAGTTGCTCAAATTGGTTTATACTTCCTGTCGCTTTGTAGGGTGCAGCTCAAAACAAGCAGAGCGAGTGTATTTAGTCCCTGACAATGCCCCCATGGCATAGAGATGATTAGATTACGATCGTGAAGAGAGCAGCATGCCCGACAAGGTATTTTGACAACAGCGTACACAGATCTAGACCTAGATTCTATCTGAATGGCGCAAGAATCACAAACAAAGGCACAGTGGATCGCGAACCCGAGGCTTGTGAGCGCAGTCGTGAGCAACTCCCTACCACCTATACTAAAAGTATCACACATGGACCAGATATAGATGACCAACCAACTGCGGCTGATACCTTTATCACCACCGGCTGTGATCGCTCGGAGACCTCCATCTGACAGGAACATCTAGCACGGTGACTGTCACATTCTTATTGCGCGTGAAAATCAAATGCTAAGCGAAATTGTGCGGCCTCCGTGCAACGATGGCAAGCGTAGGTATCGATCCTTCATGATCCACCATGGTCGAGATGAATGCTCTGTGAGGTTCGGCGGCTGGCCCTGCAACGGCAAAGCCTGCATAGCGATGTACCCGTCCCTTGATGCGGCGGTGCCGTCCAAAAGATTCCTTGAGGGGATGCGGTGTGTTCTCTTCGGCTGTCGTATAGAAGAACCCTGATCCCGAGATCATTTGTACGCCGGCGACGGGCTTGTAAACCCGTCAGTGGATTCTAGCGCTATTACTTCGCCTCGCATGTGCACTCACAAGTCATGATTCATCTGTCTCGCAGCCAACGTGCGCTTCGCGTTCTAACGTTCTAGAAACTTGCCTCATGGAACAAATCCCGAAAACGAGTTTCAGCAAGGTCCGTTAAGGGGTTGATACGCCGTTTCCCTAGCGGCAACTTTCGTGAATTACTGGGCATGATTGTGACACCGTCGCCACATCTGGCCTGGATCAAAGCATTGTACACCAAAGCACTGATAACGAGATGGTGGAATTTTTTTTG